TGGAAAATTATTTGAATGTCATTCTTTATCGTGAGATATTTATCACTTGGATCGATTGACATGAAAGATATTGAAAGTTGCAACCAACTTTGAAGATACTCGAATTTAATTCAGTATACTATTTTCAATTACTAAATTACTTTTATTGATTATAGTATTTTCCCGTTCATTCTTTTATTGGGTCAATCCTATACTCTTAACTTTTGCAAAAAATATTATTTACAAGCAGCATACGAAAATGCGGTGTTGCTACAAAAGTAAAATATACCAAACATAGAACGTTTATCTGGAATCTAGGTTGAAACTATAACTGGCGACCCTGCGAAAGCTATTTGCAATCAAATTGTATATTTCAACGGATAAAACTAAAATAGTAGCAGAATCTGCATAACTGTGCATGCTTGTCTGCCATTTTTTGATTTTTGAACGTCTATGTTGTACTCTGATTTTAAATCATTGTACTAAACTACGGAATCGGTCATTAAAACATAAAAAAGCCTGGAGTTCAGCTGAATAAACTCATAGTATAAATCCGTTTGAAAGTTGAAGAACTTAAATGCACTTGCATTGGAAATTTATAGAAATCACTATTGCAAACGCTTTTCATGATTTATTCTCAATTTACACTCAAATGCAGATACATAGCATATAGATCAAGCCTGAATATTCACTGAATTCTACCTGTTATAATCTTTACATACATTAGAATATCTACAACTTCTTTTCATTATGAGTGTTTCAATGTCGTGCGGGGTTAAGTGGGGTTAACATTTGTGACGTCAAAGGCATTATTCTGAAGCATTTAGATATATTTGTAAACCAGATTCGGTATTCGGTCAGTAAAGTAATGATATACCTGGATGTACCTGCGAATAAATAACCATTTATAGTATATGAAGTGAAATAATTTTTTCAAAAAGTTACAAATAACATTCCGATACGGTGCCTATGAATAATATTACTGTTCTGGGTGTTTCATTGATTAAATTAAATGAATTTACCATCACCATACAAGCTTAGAAAAAAAAAATTATGTTACATATTAGAAGAATTTTTTGCTTAGGACAAGTTTGGTAGGTGCCCTTAGATTAATGATCAACCACGTTGCCTTGTTCAGTCCAAATGATTTTTGACTATGAGTTGTATTTCTATATACAATAGATAGAGAAATTTATCTATTTTTTAATTTTAATCACACGAGACAAAAAATAAATAACGAAGATAACCACCGAAGAATGTTCAAAATATTTAAAAAATGTTTCAGCTGAGGTATGGTTCATTTTGAGATTATGTTTTTAAAATTTGAAGCAAACATTTTTTCACTCATATGAAAATCAGAATCCGAGAACGTTTGATCGATGCTAATTTATTGATGTAATTATATTATATAATTACCTGGCCTACCTTCGATTTAAAATAATCTGGACTCGTGTCACTGGATAAATTGTCAAGCGTCACTGACAACCTGAAATGACAACTTAAGATGAGAAAATGAATGTAATTTAGGGGGATTGTCAATGACGCGGAACATACTAAATGGATGATTCAACGAATAACAACTTAATCTTGATTTGACGCCAAGTCAATGGATCTGTGATGCATTATGATGTATTAGTCAACTATAAACAGGGAAATTAACGTAACAAAACACTGCAAATTGGTAAAAATTTATAAAATGTGTCAATCTTAGATAGAAAGCAAGTTTGGGGATAGAAGAACTTTTTTTGGTAGTTTTCTATTTCAATATACTAATCAACACTTCCGGCGTAAATGCATCTCAAAAATAAAATTTAAGTAAAAGAGTTTCATTCTACAGAAAAGTGTGATTCTAATATTGACATAACTTGACCCCCAATCGATTTTTACTGTTTTTTTACAACATTCAGAATCAAAACAGTTTGTATTTCCATATTATTTTTATAAATCCAAGGTACAATATTGAGTTAATTCAGTATCGATATGACATAGGTTTTCATACACATTTTACGATTAGTCGAATTTGGATCGATATGTATTTTACTATTACAGCACATGAATTATAGCATCTTAAATCTTTCGGCATTCATCAAACCATGCGAATGGATATTATTAAATTTCCTCGCGCGACATCGTAAAAATGTCGATTTATTGACACAATGTTCATAAGTAAAATAATTTACAACCCGGCGTCCAGTTGGCACCGACAAATCGACAGGTACTTGAATAACCCGCATTGGCAGATAATCTTTGACCCGTAGTTAAACGGCACGTGATATCACGAAAGTCGAAAGCTAATTTTGAATCATACCTGTGTCATATAATTTTACTTTATCGTTAAAGATTAGGTCTTTGATCATTTTTAACACACTCAATCTGTAAAATAATGTTTTCGAAATCTGATCCGGCTCACATCATGGAAATCAGAGAAATATCACCTATATTTTACCGATACCATAATACTAAATGATATCATGATCTCTCAGCGTGTATTTTTGTATTTGGCCATGGATTTTTACTTAACTATTTCCTATTTTCCACTGAGTTTGAAAATTTTAAGTAAGTTTTCGATAATATTTGACTTTTACACGTCGGTGGTCCTGTTCTATGACCGATGAATCAAAGGTTTCAGGGATTCGTATAGACCGGAAATGGTTTCATGTTACAAGTCAATAGTTGAATGTTGTCTCGACTTTAACACAATTTCAATAGATTGAAGTAATTAACGTTCTTTGTTCTAATTGGTATATCTCTGTTTTAACTTGTTGGTTGCCGAGTAGAATAAAAAGATTCTTTTCAGTAAAGAATCTGGAAGGTTCGTTTCTGAAAAGATTTTAATGAGACTCTGAAATTTAAAAGACATTTTGATTTAATAAAAGAGCAAAATCTTTTTTCAAATAATACAATTTTACTTCGTATTCCAAAACATAGTCTAGACTAGAGGTTTGTATAACTTAGTAACATACATTTCCAGTGATACAAGGAGCGAAGAATGCAAAGTTTTTTTGCGACAGTTGGCCATCATTGCGTTTGACTGTAAAATAATGAGAATTCAGAAATTTGCTGGCAGTTGTCTTTAGTCTTAATTGAAAAAACATCTTTCTGTCATTTACATTTTGATGTAAATAAGCGTCCTCTAAACAACTTTGTCACTCATTTTATTCATACGGATTAACATATATACTATATTTAACTACACACATTTGCTGATGTCCATCGTTAGCATCAACGTCGTCAACGAAAGATATCAATATTTTTAATATATTTTGTATTGATCGTGGAGGGGAAGTTGGCTAGTGTTTCAGAAAGACTTGACTTCGCTAGGATTTAATTAATTCCTATGTCATTCTTAAATTAAGTTACATGGCAAATGTTACAAACTTGAATTCAAATTATGAGGTTTTATGTATTTTTAGCTTGTTTTTTCAAATCAGATATAATCCCCTTCATAAGTTTGTATTTGCACATTTGCAGACTCAAGAAATCTTGTACAATATACGTGACGGTAGTTACCGGGTTATTCCAGGAGAAAAGTTTGTTTCCTATAAACTCTATGTAATATTACCCTAGATTAATAGAAAATCGATGGACTGGACGGCGCCTGCCCATTTGAAAGTAATTGGGCTTTCATTGATAACAACTGCAGTCTATAAAGACGAAACAAATAAAATTCGAAAAAATGTTCTTTACCATCGCATAAAACGAGGTGTTGAATTTCGTCAGCTTTATTCCCCACTAAAGTACGATGTTATCAGTTTCATCTCGACACGACTTTCACGATTTTTTCCCTCTGTTGCTCACAAACCGTAGATGATGCGATTGCTTAGTATATTGTTCAAGCTTGATACAAGTTTCAGTTTGATTACATCTGCGGCAACGATTTTACGCGAATTGTCGCAATTGCGGTCGCCAATTGACTTGACCAAAAGTATGTAAAACTTTGAATTACACTTAGTCGTGTAGGTATGACGTTACTCAAAGAACTCGGCACCCTGAAAATGGAGTAATCAATGCGGTACAAACTCGAACTCTATAAAGACCAAATGCCCTCAACACGAGAAAACAGTTATTATCTTTTCGATATTTTTTCATATCTTTGCACTATTCAAAATTGCTTTCTAGAACTTGTATTCTGCAATTTTGGACCAATCAAAACGGGTGTTGGATTGTTATCCTTGCATTAGAAAGCAATAGAACTTGAGACGGTGACATTACTGGTCGATGAATAATTTATCCAATGACGTCTTGTGTAAAGTTTTAAAATAATCCTAAAAATCATATGAAATCAGAGAAAACATTATTCTACTTTACCGTCAGGCTATTCAGAAAACTAACTTCCGTATTACAATAAATTTAGATAACGATTTTTTGATTACGATCAAGTTTGCAAGACCCCTGGAGTTTCAATTGAGTATTTCGACAACATTTTGCGACTCCGGCTCCGATTCAATAACAGTAAAAAGCCCGGGCGCTGAGTTTAGACTTCACATCCCTTTTGTATAGAACGTAGACAAATTTTGCTGATTTCAACACTGCCTCCCCACCCTCTGCCTCTGAAACCTAATACAAATATGCATGCATAATTTGTGAAAGGCCATCATTAACTATACAATACCAATAAAATTTGGCGTAAGGCAAACTTGAGTTTTTTCTAATAAATTTTGGTAACTCGCGTGATTTTAATTTAACCTGATGAGGTGACTGATCTTCTCTAGCATGCCAGCAAAAATTTGTGGTATGATATTATTTCTACAACCAGCAATCACTTTTAATATTGGTACTAAAAATTTCTTTTTTTTATTGAAAGGTGAAATTATAAATCTGATCGTTATTTGTTTATTGATCTTCTGTCAAAAGTTGCACTAAGAGTGTGGTATCGCAATCGGCGTGCGAGAACATACTCTACTTGGAGATGTCGGTTTAAGATAATGCTACAAGCCTACGATCACAGCAAGCCAGGACAAAAAATAAAACTACAATATTTTAGCTATAGAGGATTTACAAGACTTTATTCCGTTTTTCAGGGGATGTGGTTGAAACCTTTCTGATTGCTAGAAATCAAACGAAAGAAATCCTTCGACAATCACTGAGGAAGAAAATCGATTCTCGTTCCTTGAAATCGTCTATGTCTGCACTTGATCGTTTATTTCGATCTTTAGATATTCAAGCCACTCCGGAAGATGTGAAGAAGGCATTCAATAGGTAGGTGTCACCATACGGTAAACAAAATGCATATTATTTAAAATGTATATGTGAAGCATATGATAAATTAATGGTAGGAAAGTGTTTCTGAGAACGTTATATTATTTACAACACCGTGGCCTGATATATTCCAAACAGCGAAGCCAACAAAACTTGAAATTGATACTTTTAGCCTGGTAATATTATAAATATTAAACCGTTTCATTTTGTATATACGATAGGGGAGTTATATTTTCGAACATTTTAAAAATCATTTGATTATTTTAAAATTATTGTTTGTCACCCGGTTTCTAGTCGTATAGTTTGGGGCCGGGCTAGTGTTAAGTTGCCATAGCCAGGCAACTTTTTAATTTCAGTGAGTATTTTGCTTATAATCATATTGGTAATAGATTTTATTCTTCACTTTATTAATATTATTGTTGTTCACGTACGTTTAATCGCCTGCAAAACTCACTTGCAAGGGACGGCAGGCAATTCCGTTTGTCAACCGAGGGGCTCAAGTATTTTTATTATTAAACGTCCCAAAGCGTTCTCGTGGCTTAATGATTTTAATTAGATACAGGACGACCTAATGATTTTTCGCTTTCATCGCCCTTGTCTCTTCACAAAATAAAGTTGATCACGAGCAACCACGTCCCAAGTGTAAACCATACAAAATTTAGCAGCCAGGCTGAGGATTATAATACATCCTAGCATGATCAAGCTTTAATGAACGGCATACCAATTTGTGACGCGTAGTATGGATAATTGCGAAAATTAATTTCGTGAAAGATGACAAGACATTGTCATCAAGTCTGTTTTGAGGCCAACAAAATCCTCTGACGATGGACAAATGCTCCCTGGACACTGACAAAGGTCAATGGGGAAGCGCGAGTTCCGTGTGACTTGTGGTTGGCGGTTTCGGGTGTAGTTGTGTAAAACCACATGAATAACTTCATATGAAAATATTTGTGAATACTTTGTATCATGTCATTGTAATATTTGAATACAAGTTCATATTAAAAATATGAAGCTAAATAGAAACGGATGAAATATATCAGAGGCAATAAGAATTGGCTCCAAACTTTCGCCCATTTAAAAGATTTGACCTTTCTGTTTTGAAACAAAAATACAAAGGGTTATGTCATTACAACATTTCAATTTTCATATATTGAATTGAAGTAACCAGTCTAGTAGAACATACCATCATTTTTAATACTGGTATCTGCTCTTGGCTATTGATAAATAGCGCGCCCGCGGCTGTTACATCTGCCCTATTTTTGAAGGCTTTGCCAGAAAATGTTCCAAGCCAAGAGAGGATTACATTTAGCCATGTGTACGGCCGCTCCATAACTTCAAATACATATTTTAGCGATGGTATATGACGAAAGGGAACTTGTCACCCTTGTCACATTGCATCTCCGACTAATGACTTGAATCTGGTCAGAATCCACGTTACAAAATAACGCGAATTTCTTGTGACGATAAGTAGATTTCCCACCGGGACGATCTGTGTCATATCATGTCAAGAGCGTGAGTACGTGATGTCAAAAGACAAATCATGGTTTAATCATCTCATAGATTCTCCTTGGTCAAATGTGGCAAACCGATAATTTAAGCAACAAGCGAGGTATTTCTCGTAGGCCAATCTGCGCCATACCATATTTTGATGTTATTTTGGGAAACTTATCGCGGTTTTCAGTATTCGACTGATGTCTTTCACAGCCACAAAGTTGGAAGTTAACCAAATCCCTTGTGACGAACATTATATAATGTCATTTAAAAGTCATGGTCGTGTCTGTACACACACTACTCAAGAGCGGGAATGACATACAAACTGTTCCTAAGAAGGATAATTTTTAAACAAATCGATGACGTATCGGTAAAATATTTTTAGCTACTTGGTGAATTTTTGTGAACATTTCTTGATTTTGATCGTTTTAGCTTAGGTGACTTTATTTGGAGATAATATCAAAAATCGGCAATTTGGTAAAATATCTCTAAACTGGATAAACAAAATGTCTCTATTTGTTTAAAATAATCAGTTTATTCTCATTAGTGTTCAATATTTGAAGCTGAAATAACGGAAAATTAAACCGAGTAATGTGCAGTTAAGGTAAAATATATTCTATTTTAAAGCGTTATTTCTGCAGCAACACGTTTAGGCATAATCCGATTAGTAGGTCAACTACCCGTATTGCAACCCACTGTAGTCATACAAAAACATATAATGAAAATTACCTTGCTAATTGTAACTTGTAATGAAATACCCTACGCGAAGTATAGTGACTCCGGTTATGATAACAAGACAACCGGTTATCTGGTTCTTGCGTGCATTCTGTTCCGTGGGAGGATGACTTGTACCAAACTACCACGTCCTAATGTAATCCTCCCGTTGGGTTTTGTTACCAATTCACACACCCCGCCTATTTAAATATGACTTTTGGATGCGTGCCGGAACTGTAACTGGACCTCGGGCTTTGGACCTCATTTCGTCACCCACTTCGTCGAGTCGCGGATTACTGCCAATCATCCCTCCTTTAATCCAATCCGGCTGGTTGCGGAGCGTAGGTCCCACCACGTTTCGAACGAATTCCATATAAATCCTTGTTGATAGATTTTTATCGATAGTTATAGTGTGTCCATGATTCAAACAGGCATGTGCCATTCATCAATTAGTTATTTTAAACTTGTGGAAATTGGTATTTTTCATATCATAATTCAGCTGAAATGTTATTGCATTCTCGTATAAAACGAAAGCAGTAAGTACCAGGTTTATAGTCGTTTCATAATTTCTGACACTTCTGGTTGTGAAAATTGGAATATTTTCTGTACTGCTCTCAAGTCCAAATTACAATATTAATACTTCCTTCTTATAAATCATTTTCCATTTGTATTACATAAGACAACCTAATCTTAACTTAGCCCATGGCTTTCGAATTATTTTCTCTGCAAGTATTTGGTGGTTTGCGGCCAACGCTGTGAACGACAATTGAACTTGCTCAATACTACCCTAATGAAACAGTAGTAAAAGTTTCTGACAATCGATGAATATTTTCAAACACGCATTTATAAAATTGTACAGTTTTGTGGCAATTTATTTTAGCATTTTATTTAGCATATAGGTGAAAAAGTTCTTGACCTTTTCGTTTAAAGCTTGTTAAGCATACGTTCCCACGTCTAACCAGATTATGTTTGATGTGCAAGACAAACATCTGAATGGTTAACGATAATTGGATACCGTAAGGATCCAGACACTAAAGTCCACAAATTAGTAAAGCTTTCTTTAATTTTAATCCAAAACTAACAAAACACGCCATAAAATAAAGATTTTAAGATACAGACAGAGTAACGTTAGGATAAGCGCACAAAACATCACTTCAAACGGTTTTTCTTGCACCAGGTTTCCAACCTTGTGATAACGTGCAAATTGGCATATTCTGCTACGGAAAATTCAGAGTTGGAGCGAATACGATGATCAAAATCCATGAGATATTGGTTTAATGCATTGATACATTACAATCCTTTTTTTTATACAACTATTTCACCAAATAATTCATTTACTATACACCTACTCAATCCACCTATAACAACTAAATGGATAAACGTTATCGTTAGACTACCGTTCCGTGATGAAATGTGATTTTGTGCCATGGAAAAAGAATGAAAAACAGCAATTTCCAAATATGATCCATTGGTCGACGTTACCCACTGCCTTGACAATTTTCTTTTTAAATGAATTGCTTAATTCACATGGATAATTATAAAAGAATGCATTTTTTTCTATGGCCCAGTTCCCTCTCATATGGGATCATTTTCTGGACCATTATATCGTGCAAAACTCATGGTTGATTCAGTAACATAAAAAATGGAAATAGAAAGTGATTTTTCGCAAAAAAAATCTAAAATAAATCATGTCAAATAGGCAAGAAATTGAAAAAAATAAATAAATTTTTTCCTGAGTTCCTTTTTTCCGGTTACAATATATATATATGGTGCGCTGGGATTTAGATGATTGGATTGGTGGCGCCGCGGTATATTGTTTGGGTTCCGAACTTGACATGTGGTGAAAACTTGTCAATTCCACAAGCGGTAATCAAAGTGAAAAATGCATTTTTAACAAATTTCATTTGCACATAGGGGGACGGCAGTTTTCCCCATACTTGGTTGTTGTTTGTCTAAGTCTATGCCATCTTCAGGTACGGCATCTACTTTCGTACCATCATTATGGGCTTTTCAAATATGTTCTATATACAGAGAGTTTTAAGCTATCGATTGTAAGCAAGCTACATAATTACAAATTTTTTCTCCTTTACGATGTTTAAGAACAGTTTTATTAGCGGAAAATTGACCACACAGTATTCTCATCATCAATCAATTTTCGTTTAAATTATGTCCATTTAATGAAATTAAGTTATTTTCAAATCGAAAAATCTATGATAATATTGTCATATATAAGATTGAGAACCGGCTGAAATAGAAATTATTTTCAAGTTGCAAATAAAAAAGAAACAAAAAATCAGTGGGACTTGGTAGGGTCTTTCAACTAACACGCTGATGTATTTTACGTTATTTAAACATTAAATCGCGACCCAACATTTCTCTCGCTACATCTCCTGGTCTCTGTTTGTTGGTGTGGTTGTTTATTCTAATTAGATTTGTTACTTGTATTACTCTGAAATTTCAATTTGGGTAAAAGTTGTTCGGTAGTGAGGCATGAGTCATTCAAAACGATTGTGTAGCATTTTTGTTCCAATTAACCCAAAAAGAAAGTTCACTCCCGTAAACCTCAAATCTTGATTGATCAATTTGCATCGCCATATATCATCATTTGCACTAATAACTTGTAAGCTTCCTTTTAGATAAATATTTGCGATATAGTGTAAATTTATTACTGTAACTCAGCTCGTATTTCATTAAACAGATGGTAAAGATTTCCTTTAACATGTTTATACTTGAAATTGGAACATTTGTAAGTTGTAAATGTGGGTTATTTAAAGGCTACTGGTCTAGTTTACCTACATCTTGTTTTACCTAATGGTGCGTGATCCCCTGAAAGCAAATTGTGCACGAATGCTACTTATAAAGTTTATGAGTAATTTTTTTGTTTATAGTAACTTAAACTGTGGTTACGATTTTGGCATAACTTAAATAAAAATCAAGTAGCTATCCCAAAAAATATATGAAAATATTTCCAAAGTATAATAAAACCAAACGGAGAATACTAATTTTTACAGTAACACGGGTCTTTGAAATGATATTTCGTGCTCAATATTCATTTTTCGACATACATATCAAACCCTGTTATACATCCCCCACCATCCCCGAAAAATGCTCGCGGTACTTGCCGAGAGAATGTCGACAAATTTTCGAGCTCAGCAATACGCCAACTTTGCAGTGCCAACTCACCGCAATATCGAAGACGAGGATATTTTTACCCAGCACTCATTTCGAGTAAAGAAAATAGGGTAACGTTAAGCAAACACTTGTGCCAAGACGCCACAGATTTATGGTTACACGCCTCATTAATCAAAACATTGAGCTTTAGCTGCAATTAATGGAATTTCTTAGCACATCCAATTTTTTATTGAACAAGCAAGATCTGTACACAAATTGCATTTTAGGGTTGGTATTTATGTGTGTATCATTTCCGATAGATGATAAAAGAGTAGCAGACAAACAGGGCGCAAGGGTCGTTAATTTGGCGTCAACCTGCCCTGTTTGTAATGGTTTTGGACACTATAAAACTTTATGCTTATGTATATTAGTAGAGTTAAATACACATTACAAGTTCTAGCACTGCTGAGACGCTTTGTTTGCATGGTGACGTAACGTGCTTGCGGTTGCCGTGTGGTTAGTTTTATTGGCGAAGTAATTGTAACAAGATTATAGTTTTGCGCGAGTTATACTTTTAAACCTATTAAGTGAGTTTTCAGTATTTATCGAATAAAAGCTACCAACGCCAAAAACACGACATCACAGACATTCTATGGGAAGCTCATGTGCCGCGAAAGCCAAATCATATCATATTCAATATTGCAACATAAGTTCAATCTCCAGCTTTGTTAATTGGGGAATAGGTATTCACTACATCGTAATATAAATCAAAATCAGACTACCGATGGTTGTAATTTCGAAAACATAGGTTCGTTTACCGTAGTATTTTGCCAAAATGATACTTCTCATATATATATATATATTATATCGTTTTTAATACCCTTATATCAGTAATATTTTACTCGGAATAAACACTTTAATATTTAATGATGTTCCTCATCAAATATCCCTCTTATTTAAATATCAAGCCGACATACATACATTTACTAAGTGCTATTATAGACGCGCTTTCCAATCGGTTAATGATCTATCACAGAAAGAGAATATGCAAAATAGACCAGATAATCGCGGTCCCAATAATCGACATCAATTTGTTCTGACTGTATATATGGGCGTCCAGCACTCATGGTTCAATATTAACACCGATAATCTGCTGATTATTAAACCAACAAAAAAAAAAAATTTTAAAATTCGTATGATAAACGTATCAGTCAGTATAAAGTGTTCGGCAGGAAATAAGAATTCAAGTCAACACTGTTTGGAAAAACGGCAAAGAAAAAGTTTTAGGAATGTTCAGTCAATTTTTGCAAAAAATGCTGAAAATTATGTAAAATTCTAAATGTTAAGAAGAAGAAGTAGTAGCATTTCTGCTAGTATTTAGTCCGACATTTCTAAATATTGCATTTCAGGTTCGCCGATAAACTTTTCCTTGTGCTGTTAGAAGAATCGAATAACTCAACACAATCAGATTCATCATATGAAAAATGCGTTTCAAAACAACGATCTGAACTCCACCCATTTATGGATGTTCCTACAATATCTGCTGCAAACTTATCATCGGCGTTAGGACTAGCAAAAGTACTCCATCAGGTAGATGCCACAAATTTGTAAGTTTCTGCTATTTCCGGCAAGAAAAAGTCAGAAAGATTAGGTATTAGGCGAGAAGCGAAGTGCTTGTAACAATGTTAATATAAGCATTTACATCCATATTACCGAGTCTACCATAAAATCATCGCTTCGCGCGTGATGTGATTAAAATGTGACGAATCATTTTTGATTCACCATATACCATATACAACTCTCAGTTCTGAATTTGGGTACATTAATGGCCTATTCTGAGTTTATATGGTTCCACCGACACCCACGTAAAAATTTTCTCGTTGTAATTCTCCCGATATTTTGATTATCACGTCCAGCCAGGCTCAGGCGCCGTTAAGACAACTCATCTTCCGGGCGATCTATAATAGGGGCTTTCTTTGTGCTAATTCTGAGGATTTAGATTTAAGTCTTGTAAAATTAGTTGTTTGTTCTGTACATGCTTTTATGTAATGTTACAAGTATTCAAATATGAATATAAAGTTACCTTGGCACCGTACTCTCTTGTCAAACTGAATTATCTGATCAGCAGCGATCTGTAGCATCCATATATATTTAAAAACTGCACCCATGAATTCTGTAAAAAATTCTAAGAAGTCCTGCTTTGATTCATACATGTATATGTATGATACTGCTATTGTTGTTTTTCTAATAAACCGGTAAAATTTGTATTGTTTATTTGAATAAACTAAGAATATATATATTTTTTAAATTGACAGAGTTTGGCTGCCGGGGCAGAAGCAGCAAACGTTACAGAAAGTGTTCCGATGTCTAAATCATGTCAAAGGGCTATGCTGAAAATGCAATACTGCTCACATTGTTATGGACTCACATTACTCAAACCATGCATGGGATTGTGTCGGAATGTATTACGAGGGTAGGCTGATCTTGTTTCTCTAACATATGATTATATCCAAATATGCATTTTCGTGAATAAACTTGTCTCATCTGCTATAATAAAATATTCCGTTTTGATAGCAACGAGTGTTTCAAAACCTGCCCGCTGTGAAATGACAGGGTGATATAGCAATTTGTGTAGACGTTAAGAGAACTAAATTATATTCATTACTTATCGATTTTAATCGGTAAGTATGTTGATAGGTATTTGTCTGTCTGTATGGCTGTTAGATGCACGCGATATCTCACGAAAGCGAGATTGAATCTGCTCCAGATTTTGCATGTGCATTCATCTTATCTCGGACCAGAAGCCTATTGATTTTGTGCGAATTATGTCGTATAATTAGCGAGTTATTAATTAATTAGTGATGGGCCACAGGGTGTCACTATGGAGTAAGAGCGCTGTTTTGGGGATCCCCTAACGTTCGATCGATAAGTCTTCGGTCTCTGACAGATATTCTCTTTTCAATATTTCACCAAAACGTAATTGCAGACCAAAAATCAGACTGTTTCAAGTGAATATATCTTGCCCAACCTTTACTTGTGCTACATGGTACATTAAAAATAAAACGTAATAATAAATTATTTTTCATTTCCTCTTGGGTTCAAATTATCTACAATTAATAATATCATTAACGAAGTTTCGATATTAACATCTTAATCGTCATCTTCGTTTACAGCTGTTTTGCCGGAATTTCTGAACTTGATCAATACTGGAACTACTACGTCAACGCTCTAACTGACGTCACTGAACGTATGCGTAGCGAAGAATCAAAATATAACTTGGAGATTGCGCTTGAAGATTTCCAAAATAAGTTATCTTCTAGTTTATCAGTGATTTTGGAAAACATAACGACACTTCGAGATACGGTAAATATAGACTAGAAATGGTTTACAATTGTAACCTATGACCTATGTTATCAGAGGCTATAGATCGACTATGAAGGTTGTATTCCGGCTCTCCAAAACAATAAGTCCGAAATTTTTTTAAAAATTTAATCAGTTCATAAATTTTCAGCTTTGAAGAAAATTAACGTGTTGAAGAACAAAGCTTTTATACAAGATTTACGAAACAAAAATTTATAATTATAATTTAAATGCAGAGATGATGGGTTTCGTGAAATTCTATGTTCATCGTCTTTCAAATTAAAAATTTATATCGAGAAGGGTATGTGAAAACTTGAACAAAATTTAAAGTTGGATTTCATTCAGCCAATCCCAGTCGCAAGGCTTTGATAAATGGGACTTACAAGTGTTTTGGATATGGATGAGGGTATTTGAATAGTTGCTTTTCGCTGATTTCTCGCTTGGATAGCATTTTTTCATCATAAAACGGAAATAATTTGGTACAAAATGTAAACAAAATGAAGCGTTGAGAAAATCGTTACGGCGTTCGTTATTTGTATCTAAGATTTCTTCAATCATCGATCAAAAATTGACTAAACTCGTTATTATTGCATATGCCATACCAAATCTGTTATACTCAAGTAATCTGAGCCTCAGAAGAGCCTCGAACTTCTTGCTTGTCTGAAGGTATTTTCAAGGATACGACACGGAGAAATAATATTCAAGTATTACAATGCTTTGTATATTACTCAGACCTTTTAATGTGGTCAGTTTATTCCTAAGTTTCGTATTTCCACAGCAATTTCCTTTTCAAACAACAAAAGAAAAACATTGATTTTGACGCTTCCGGGTACTTGAAAAATTTCAAGAAACGCGAATTAAATGGTGCAAATCGCCACTAAATCGGTTGATGATTCTATCTCACGGTTGAGAAATTTGAGATGACTAATTTAGCAAAACTCCTTTCAGGTTGAAGAAAAATGTAAAAGCAGTAGGAACACCAAAAGAACTAAGAGGAGCCTTGAACGTGATCATCCAGGTAAATATCACTGAACAATTCATGATTAGAGCGAATTGTACGCCGCCATACAAGTCACGCGCTTGTGTGATACTTTAAATTAGGAATAACAACAATCTTGTTTATCAATCAAAAAATGTTGGATTTTTATTCGGATTTGCACAGCCCAACGTTGAACGGGTCCGTATTCAGATAGCATCGTAAACTATTGTCTATCCTCGTTTATTTCGATACTTGGGTACTTTGAATGATTGTTTATCACCCCACCAACACGTCGGTGATTAAAACGTTGGGCATGGCGCGTATACGTATGTTTATGGTTTGATATGCGCGTGCCATATTTTTGAAAAAGTGATATTTATTTTTGTAAAACCTCTTAAACGATACCAAACGAAAAATTGACGTTTTATAGGGATTAAAGTGCCATGGTTTTTCCATTTTGAAAGATTTTCGACCTGATTTCAATCATAGCAATTTGTAATTTTGCGAGCTATTTGAACATTCTGGTAAACATTTCTCTTTCAATGGCAATGAAGTCATCGGATATGGCGTCACCTGTTTGCATATCCCACTTGTATGAAATTATGAATATGCCACTGCCGAGGAGTAGAATTCAATCTGGATTGTCGATTTCATCTTAAAATAATCTTCATTTATAAATTTAGATTATCCCCATATTAATGTGGTGAAAATCATAAACATATAACCGACGAATTTGCTTCATTTTTAACCGTTCAGCGCTTTTCACACACAACAATTTATGAGACTGTAGGTATACACATCTGTTGTAAACGTTACTCAATAGTTGTAAATGTCAGCAAACAATTAATATCGATGATATGTGTAGGTTTCCTTGGTTTATATTTGTATAATCGGCACTATTAACTAGTAAACGTCTCCTGGCACAGTTCTGACGTCACTTAAACAATTTCGAAACCATAAATCACCGCAACTGTTGATTTAATGCGGTCCTTTGATTCAGACTTTAAATTAAAAAAGTATCCGTGCTTTTAATGCAATCTACACTTGCTCAAAAGTGTTGTTGAAATGTCGATCTTTTGAAGATTGACACAGCAGGCTCCTAAAAAAATATTTTTTTTTTCCTGGCTTCAACTATAAACCAACTCATGATAATTTGACTATAACTGGGATTTAGTCAACACTGATTTGAAAAACGATCGAAATTTCAAATATGAGTTACAAATTTCGTTTTTATCTTTTGCTCGTGCGATATATTTGGTCCGATCTCAATTTTGTACGAACATATTTGAATAACTCATTTTTCCCATGAAATTTCCGGCGATTATTTAATTCTCTTCATAGTGATTCAATTGTGTTCTATGAACATATTTTTAAGTCTCCTGTGCAATATAAGCACATTCTTTTCCACTGGCCCTTTTTCCGCCACATCAATTACATAGTATCTCCACCTATATAGAAGGGTCATGAAAAATTAGCGATGCTCTTTTAAGAGGATTGTGGTATTTCGTGACACTCAAGTTACCGTCGGTCGTAATTTATCTGTGGTATACGTGCTAAAACGCGTTTTATCTGAAATCGCCACTTGAGGCAAAGTTTTTAATAGGTTCTAAAGTTATCCATTTACCTACCACTGAAACTGGAAAAGATTTGAGAGAATAATCACTTAGATCAACTGTGGCTAAACCCGATCACAAATGAAAATCCTCATTTAGTTATTGGCTATATACATTCCAACATCAACCCAATATTATTTATTGCTCATGAAGGCCATGTCACCAAAGGGTTAATGTGGGTTGTAAATCGCCTTCAATATATGAAGTATCTTAATATAACAAAACAAAACGGCCTTAGGACGTGTTTATTATGCCGTGAGTTCGCGCGTAAAGTATGTAAATAGAATGGTTATACAAATAAAGTTATACGTATAGGTAATAATATATTGTCAATTTTACGGTGGAATTCTTTTACTTGAAAGAAAAACCATGTTTAATTAAATCCGACGCACCGAATCGGATTTGCAACTTACCAATGTTAGCCACAGTCTATCTATTCCACGTCTATAACACGAAGTATGTTTCACTATAAACCCCAACGACTGGTCTTCATTTGTCTTAGCTTATATAAGACAAAGATAGATTTTGACTAGGATGCACAGATAGTAGTGACATAATGCACTTATCCGATTCTATTCCGCTTAGTAAATCCAGTGACTTAACCAAGTTTAGCACGATGTTTCAAACGTATTTCGCATATTTAGCCAAGATCTTCAAAGTTCGTTAACATGAACTGGCCCAACGTGCTGCTATGTGCAGCATCCCATTTGTAGATGTATATACAATATAGGATAGGATTTACCTATATTTATCTCGAGGAGGGGAAAGCTGATTATACGGCAAAATCATATGAGGGACCACGGCCTCTTGTGTCCGGTTACCGGTTCATGTCGGGTACCGTATAGGATTAGCTAGCCAGTTAGTTATTCGTTTCAGAATCATGGACTTGATGGTGGAGGAAGAATAAATTAAATCACCACGATATCTTACAATATATTATATAAAGCACATCACTTTGTGAACATCGTTGAAGTATAGCTGAGGGATATCTCAAAATATTTTTATCCGTTGCAGTATTACCATCTCCATCAGAAGCTTTAGACTCAGAAGAAGGAGAAAAATTAGATGTTAAATTCGAACGTCACGAGAAGAATAAAAGGAGGCGACAAAGAGGAGGAAGAAAAAGCTCTTCTAGTAGATTTGAACAAAGGAAGGTCAGTTGTGATTTCATTCACACAAATTACAAAATGACGATCTATTCTATATCCAATTCACTTCAACCATTGCAGTGCAATCCCATTGGATTATTTTCTGTTTAAATTAGGGTTGCCAGATTTTCATCCTCACGTTTTCCATTTCCTTAATGACTATCTGTCACATAATTTTGTCTGAATGGGAGAGCGGCACACAAATAAATGGACACCACATACCAATGAACAGTGCTCGGTGAACACAGGCTTTCGGGAAACCAATCAGCGAAAATTCACATGGTGGCGCTTTTTTGTAGAAACAATTTTCGAGAAAAATGAAATAAATATGATAAGCAATAGTTTTCTTCTGTAAACTTCAACCTCTAATTACTGGAAATTTCTACTCGCCCCAACCATAATAATAACAACAGCGTAAACAACATTTTATCAAAACAATCTGAAGATTCGCTTTGTGACCAAAATGACCATTGCTCGTAAATATTAGGCAATTTATTCTCTGTTCCAGCTTGAAGAACTTCTGCGTCTCAAAGGTGAACAATTGCCAGGTGATGGTCCTATGGAACCAGAACGACGTAAAGTACGACCTCCACATGAAGTTCTTTTCAATCCCGGTCAATCTGCTAAGCGAGGAACACGAAAAGCTGAAAAAGATCCAGTAGTTGAAAAAAGAAAACAAACAAGCCAAATGCACAAAAGAATAAGAGGGTAAAAGCCGTTTTTTATTTTTATATTAAAACCTACTGAACTGCAAAATTTTACCAATACGTAATTTCACGTAAGTATGAATGAAAAAAGTTCTATAGTTTAGAAGCCATTGAAATGAATTAACTTACGAGTTATTAAATGCGCAGTTGCAGTTTACAATATATATCCCAATAGAGGCTTCCAGTTGAGCTTAGAATAGATGAAGCTATATCCTTTACTATTTAATTTTTTAGCACGGTTCGGTATGACCTCTTCCAAGATCGGAGCTTGTTTCTTTTCGCTTATCACATCCGATAATTACGGTTATCGAATTGGCCTATATGAGATGGGATATTACAATGCCGAGATTGCAAAAACGGCCAACATAGTTCATCCTTATTTGGAAAACCTCCGTGTACTAAAATGCGATATTGACAATGGAGTTGTTTAAAATATTATTCCCATACAACAAAGCGAGCATCGAGTTTCCCTATACATACTAAAATTCTCAGGATGGGAATTTGTAAGTCTCTTTGTTGATCGCAATACATAAATAGTTATTGGTCTTGGCCTAAAACCCTGAACCACCTGTGGCAATTTACCAATGTTTGCAATGTTATGTAATATAATACATCACGGTCAATTTGTTGTGACTTTCACGCAAAACTTAAATTTGAGCGCAGAAAAAGTTTTCTTCGGCCTATATTCGGTCGATCATGAATAATGGAAAAAAATCGATTTGAATAACAGCTTGTTCATGTATCAAAGTTGGTCAAACATAATATTAGTTGACAATCTATTATGAAAAAAATGTAACACAATTCTAACGTATATATTTCGTCTTGTCTTTTGCCAGTCTTGCATTCAGTCTATATATAAATCACACAATGCCATTTCAGGAATTTAGAGAAACGTTGTATCTATCATTTTTAGAAATATTGACTGTTAGTAGTATTCCTGTATATGTGACTACCATCGGATTCTCTGTGAGTTTATACATTGATATACCTTTCATTTAGCATTTTCTCGGATGCTGCATATCGCAATATTTCTTGTAGCTATGTCGTTCCGAATGTTTGAAAATATTTTTGCTAGGCGAAACTGTCTACCTCTTCCAAACGCATTCAAACACAAACTAAACTGGTTCAATAATCTTATGGCGCGACCTATCTGACATTGTCAAAGTGAAACAAGCAAATTAAAAAACCATAATATACTTCCTGAACAGGTGCAAGATGTAGGTATGTTTTAACCCCATATATCCAAAACATTGATGAATCGAAAAAGTTTATACCTTCGCAACTTGATCACATACGATCGACCAAATTTGAACCTAACCCATTAGTCATTATTCGTAAAACGTTTCAAATGTAGCGGCACTGTCGTCTGACACGGTCTTTCAACATTGTTTTGATGACCTGTGACCTGTTAATTCGCATACGACAAATAACAACATGACCGACCGATCATGTATTCTCATCTCGCATGACGAAAATTACCAGATAAACTATATACATACAAACTAAGCCTTACAATACTTGCACATTATATTCAATCCTTCAATTCAATTACACATACAGTGACCCGCTATGGAATGGGAAAATAAATTACTGATAAAATATGGTGCGAAAATTTCTGAAAATCTTCATAATACTTTTAAATTACTGAAATTTGTTTAATTGTTATAATAATTTCAGTTTAGATTATTTTTCAGATCGACTTTGTGGTAAATTAGTTTACATATTTAATGTTTCTCTTCACATACACAAATATACGTATTTATTCACAACACGACGCAGTCTATAAAAGTTTTTAACCATTTTTAGCAGCTTTAAACATCTTTGTGTAAAGCTATTTTGTGCTCCTAAACAATAAAAAGAACATTTTTTTTCTACAATGGTTGGAGAAACACCAAAGATAGCCTTGACAGATATTCAGACCCGGCAAAATCAGGATACACTAGTACTTCTTGAAGACTGAATTATCAATTTCTCTGTTTCTTAGACCTAAAACTATACTTTATATTTAAACTCAATTTTTAATGTGTTATATTGTGCCCACTTGACACACTCAGGCGTTCTCGATGAAGTGCATTGACCTACCTAACCCTAAACAATTAAAATGTACTGGTTTTGTGTAGATCGCGGTGTGGGGTATAACTAAATATCAGCTGTATTGCGTTACGAAAAAACATACATTTTCATTCAACAGCTTGCAATTTTTATCCAATTATTCAATTCCAATTATCACACTATCATGTGAGATTAGATTAATCCAAGTTCTGTCGCCATTTTAACATATATTATAACAACATAATGACGTCTGAATGAATACATCCGAAGTACAAGATGACCTCACGCAGGCTAGGTTGTTGTTTACTAGTACGGTATTCGAACACGTAATCTCGATGGTGCGATTTTTAGCAATTGCTTACACGCAACATTAACAAAAAAACGGTAGATGCGATCCATACTCAAATACTCAACTGTAAGTAATTACTTTGTATCTAAGGTGGTTTGAGTTTACCCAATATATGCCGCGTATATTTCTTGTTAGAATAGTACATAATAAAGCCGTATTCTATGAAATTTTAGGCTTAAAATATCTAGAAAGTTTTGGGTCACCGGTCATTTAACTTTCAACTGCGCTCGACGAAGGGAAACAAAAACGATTTATGTGAACAGTGTAAAATTATAGGTGTGGATAGATCTCGAGTGCCAAAAATGTAGATTTTTTTCCCACCTAGAAAATACTAGTCCAATCTTAAAACTTACGTAATGCGTGGCGCGTGAACGAGGTTGTATGTCAACACCCATGATTCAATTAGTTTAATCATTGTCCCTTATCAATACCCGATTACTCGGATGAAAATTATTATGCCATTTATTCTCGTCCATACTAAATAATAGTTACGGCATATTAAACAATGAATTTGTGTAACAAACAACTAAGTGGTTTATTTAATCTTCACCGCCCTTTTCTTGACTGCCCGTCAACTAGGTACTTGCACAACTTGCGTTGAACAAGCAATGTCAGATTCGAAAAAAAGTTTCTGAAGTACGACACTCGGGACTTACCTCCGAGTGTGATATCGTTTTTTTGCTTTGAGAAACTGTTACGACACTCGGGACTTACCTCCAAGTGTGATATCGTTTTTTGCTTTGAGAAACTGTTACGACACTCGGGACTTACCTCCAAGTGTGATATCGTTTTTTTGCTTTGGGAAACTGTTACGACACTCGGGACTTACCTCCAAGTGTGATATCGTTTTTTTGCTTTGAGAAACTGTTACGACACTCGGGACTTACCTCCAAGTGTGATATCGTTTTTTTGCTTTGAGAAACTGTTACGACACTCGGGACTTACCTCCAAGTGTGATATCGTTTTTTTGCTTTGAGAAACTGTTACGACACTCGGGACTTACCTCCAAGTGTGATATCGTTTTTTTTGCTTTGAGAAACTGTTACGACACTCGGGACTTACCTCCAAGTGTGATATCGTTTTTTTGCTTTGAGAAACTGTTACGACACTCGGGACTTACCTCCAAGTGTTATATCGTTTTTTTTGCTTTGAGAAACTGTTACGACACTCGGGACTTACCTCCAAGTGTGATATCGTTTTTTTGCTTTGAGAAACTGTTTTGCAAACTAGTTTAAAGCCAAGATGTTACGGATCCGTACGTTCGAACATTCGAATTGTGAAACTGATTTGTCTTATTGATGAACTAACTCATTTTCCTAACTAACTTTAATATGCACATTTGAGAATTTATTTACATATAATTCCATGGTAATAAATCGCAAAATGACTGATTGAATTTATATTTGCATGTTTTCAAATTATCAAAGTTGTTATACTTGATGAAAAATCGATACTGGTTTTTCAAATTATATAATAAATAGAATATAACCATTAATGAAACTATTTGTTCGGTTTATAAGTTTAGTTGTTATGAATGATAACTTAATATTTTGACAAAAACTATAGTCAATGCTTCATACTATTTTCCATTTTTAAGTTTTTGTCTCGTTGCTGGAAAAGGCGTTTATTTTAATTGTCTGAAATCTGTCAACATAAAACTGATTTTCGTTTAGAAAATGAAAACGTTTTGAATAACGCAATGACTTTTTGTAATTTGAACTGTGACTTCTCAACTTCAACTACCGCACCAATTATCACGCTGTTTGCATTTACTAGTATACACACGGTGCGGGCCATAACTGCAGCTGAAATTATCTAAGATATATGCTTGTTTGAATGTGTGTAAAATTATAAAGGATTACATCAGAATGTTCCCATACTTTGTTATGAATTGAAGATTGTGTTACAACACGGTCGGTCAAATTCTGGAGAACCTGATACTCGACGGTGTGGATTTTTGCAAATCTAAACATGACCTCTGACATGGTTCAACGACCATAGGATACTCTTTATCCCATCATAGGTTTATAAGTACATAAAGATATGAAACGAGATGATGCTGACTTTTGAACTAAATCGTTTTCTGATTTAAAGTTCATTTTTGTCAGAAAAAAATATAGGAATTTTGATTTGTCGTGTTAGAAGATTTATTTACTTGTATTTACGGAAACAAAATACGCGGATTTCCTAGTATAATAATATTGTTTCAGTTGCCTTTGATAGGTTTATATTACCACAATGTTAAGCCAATTTTACTCAATTAAGTTTTATTTTCAGATTCATTACCTCCCTCGATTTGTCAACAAATTTCTATCGCCATCTACCGGATGATATGTGCAGTTCTTCATCGGGGATGGCAATCGAAGTTAGTAATCATGGAAAATGTTGGGATGGAACGGATATTGTTGACAGGTAATTCTAGATAAATACCTACATGTTCATTTTGTGTTATTACGATATCTTCCTAACTCTAATTATCAGTATATGGTTTTATTTTTGCACGCAACAGACTCCGACTATCGTGTACCACCAGATTTGAGAGAATGTGTGTTATACTTCTCATTCTCAATCTTACATTGCCGAGCCAAACAAAAAAAATGGGATGGGGTAGTACATTGGGGTATAGGTCGTAGCTCCTACACAGTTAATATAAAAAAAAAGTTAATCGGCAGTCACAACTATTGTCATAAGTAATTTCACAGTTAATAAATATCGAATAATGATATAGCAATCATAATAGATTGATCAACTTTTTGATTTATCCAAATCAAAACTATTTATTCAAACATTAAACGCAGTTGAATTTGTTGTTCAATAAAATGGCGGGGAAAAAATAGAATACGTACAAAACAGGTCACGCTCAACATTCTAAATCAACTATTTATCGTTGCTCCTGATAAAACCGGATACTAATTACACAGTCGATAAATCAATACACGATACCCTGCTTATTTTACGTGAATCACATCGAACCGCAAACGTAGCGAATAATTACCAAAGAGATGAATCTCAACACAAATTATAGATAACGTATTCACCAAAACATGTTTTTTCTAACACTATACTTCATCATTGCAATCGTACCATACGCCGACCATCTGTTACTTGAAAAAGACCTTGATCACTGTATTTATCCTCGAACCAGAGATGGTTATAAATAAACCGAATTCATATAATATTTTTTAAGTTTTCTACATGCTCGATCCTATAAGTTCATATTTTGGTGAATCAGAACAAGATTGAATATAATTTTAGTTTATCATTTGGACAGGTGTACATGGATTCCACGTATTTACTACATGTGGTAGCAGATGGTAGCCCAGTAGTAAATTAAACTACCATGTAGGTCTGCAACAAACTGTTTAAAATTGTGTCCATCATATTGAGCGACAAAATCTAATAGAGTGAATAACATAGATTTATAGCGTGATTTGCATTGAAAACATGGTCTTGAATTAATTTTTTAAAAATTGTTACGAAAATTTATCGCCGATACAAGATGGAGCTTGATTTTTATAGGATTTGTACATAGCTGCTATAATCTGACATGGAAATTTTCAACTGCAAACAGTGTGCATGATTAATTAACTCGGATGAAAACGTTTCTGCTATCCGACATAGGCCTCATCCAAAAACACACTCCGCTGATAAGTGTTGTCTTGTGAGCAGCGGGATCCGGATTGAAGAAATCTTGTTTTACCGATCATAATACAGAGTCGGGTCATTTTCAGTGTCGTATGACAATGTATTTTATTAAACCGAGGAAAATATGCCGTTTTATACTTATAGGGCTGTGTTGGCAGTTTTCAAAATTGCTAAGTTATTATTATTTAACGCTAGTCAAGAAACTTTTGTATAATAAGCAAATGTATACGTCAAATCCATCGGGCCCAAAAATGGCCGTATAAGTATAGTATCCATAGATCGTATAGCTCCTAAAATAAAGATAAAATGAAAGATATGGTTGTCCTGTCGGTGTGATTATTATTTTTCTCTGAATGTGAGATACCCTTGAAAACAGGTGCTTCGGAGATATCCGATATCTTTCAAAGTTTTCAAAACAATTGAAATAGACTACATAATATTTAGGGGATATATTAAATAAAGCATTATAAACTATATTAAATTGCCACGCCCTCATATGAGGTAAACAAAAAACAGATTACAAATCGTTTTTGTGTCTGAATGCGTCTTAATCCCAACACAACACAACTTATATATATATATATATATGCTTTATTTCTGCAATATTGTGGATGGGTAATATGATCAACATGTTATTACACAAACCAATCTTTATATTTGTACTAATACACTACATTCACCTTCCAAACCCATGTACCCAAAAACCTTGTTTGTGATTGGCTAACAAATTTAGTTCAAATAACTGATATTTCCGAGTGGAATTTCTGAATATCTTTGTTGTTTATATACACTTGGTAATATCACGATTTTTTATAAGAAGGCGTTAAACACAAATATACGGACAGGTACGTTTCATTATTTATCGACAAACAACTTAAGCATTTAGTTTTTAAGTGATACATCAATGGTCTTTTTTTTTAAACAAAAATGTCATTTGTATGCTGGCCATGAGTAATGGAATAAATTTGATGGACATGTTGGTGTCGATTCTAATTCGGCATAAAAATGAAAGAGTATGTATTATATTTGGTATTACGTACTTTTATGAACACATGTAATGTGATGGTCAAATGAGTTTATTTTGATCGACGAGGCGAAGGTGAACGTCTATTACGATCGGATTTTGTCTTTGTATCATAAATTTTATGAAACCCAGGGATAAATTAAATTACTGTCAAATATTATTTCGTCATACAAATTTTTTGACGCAATTCCAGCAATAACCTTTACCACCTTTGCCTAGACGCGCTATAAACAAAAAATAATGCCTAAGGCAAGGTTTTCGTTACATAGCTGTCAATGTTTACAGGTGTTATCAACGAGATTGAGAATGGCTTCTGCAAAACCGCAAACATTCGCATGGCCCATTATAAATCATGCCCAGAGGATGTTACCATATCATTGATTCATCCTTTTACAACTATACTTCTCTATTAGCATTCTTGGCTTCCTTCATTAGCATTCTTGACTTTATGCAATTTTCTCACGAAACGTGATAAGCTAATCCTTGCGTCTGTCTTCCGAAGCATCGACGCGAGAAAAATCCGTTAAGAGGATAAAATTTACGATTTTTAAATCCCACGTAAATTGAATAATAAGGATACTGACAGAAGAAGAATAAATATTGTATAACATGATGAAATATTTAATAATAAGCCATTACTATGCACGAACGTCGGAATTTTTCAATAAAGGTAAAAGCGACCTAAAACATTTCGAAGACCGAACACTAAGATACAGTACAAGTCTGAGTCCCCGCCAAACCGAAAAATTTGAGGTCTTCAAAAGAGCCATCATTAAAACTTCCTACAAATTAATAACTTTGAAAGGATTATATTGACTTGGTATATATGCCTCTCTCCAGCCTAGTATATTGACTCAGTTTGTCAAGTGCGTCTCATGTGTATGTGTACAAGATGTTTACCTCTCTGGTAAAGCAACTAACCACAAGATCGCTACCTTCTTCCTTTTCTGAAGCCTTTGTTGGTCTGAAAACAGGAACACTCTATTTGAAAGCCAAGATGATTACGAAATTTAAAAACAAAATGAAATGCAAGAAAGAGAGCTCATCCACTTTAGTAATTCTAATGTGTCTTTGTCTTCAACAAGTCCTATCCTGTCGTCATGGGATTCAAACTTGAGCAAAATAATATAGTTTTAACCAGTGAGCTATTTATTATCCTTTAACAGTTATGAGAAAGACGTCGTTCCGGCGGGTTATGGAAAGCAAGCTTCGAACCCGGAAGTGAAGGTGACAAAGGTCGAGAAAGGTGTCATCAAAGCTATTGACAGTTTGCGCCAAACAGCAATGGTAAGCCTGGTTACTGGTCATCATTTTGCATAGCGCATGGCTTGCATCTTGCATTGCATTGCTTTATATAGTTAGGCCGTGGTTGTTGCATAATCTGCAGTTCTTACATGAATGATGCTATAAATAAATGTCAGCAATTTTTGCTCAAGTAGCTAGAATAGTGAGCTTCACAGGGCGGATCCCAACACAAAAATTAATTAAACCCGTGATACATAGGTGTAAAATACAGAATACCAGAGATGAATTTCCACACGCAAAAATGGTTTTCCAAATTGTTACCGATATTTTGATTATTCCAGCTATAAATTATATCACCAATTTCTTTCCTTGATGTTGGTGACCAAATAGTTTGTTGTTTTGAAGCCTAGTTTGCAACTCATATTGCTATCGAATATATTAGTGAAACATGAGACAAATCAGGAACACAAAAAATCAATTTGAAAATATTGGAGTTAATATTGATAATAAACCTTCTTGAATAGCAATTATTTTACTTATAACATAAATTATATACAAGACCCGTCTAAATATGATTAAGTTATCATTAGGAATTGAACTGTAATTTTTTTTAATCTTTGTTAGAATTTGTTATCTGCTTCTGGCAAGACTGAGGTTCCCGGTCTTTTACTACATTCACCATTATATGAACGTCGCGAGGAAGACGTTGCATTGGAATCCGAAAATGGAGATTATCCATGCGATGACGAAGATGATTGTACAGAATATGGTAGTGGGGATTTTGACCTTGGTAAGCTTTATGTTAAATGTGTATGTGTAAACATCAATAGCTTTGGTTTAATAAAATTGAAAATGACTCCTGGATATGAAACGAAAAACAATAAATTTTTCTTGGCAAAAAGCCATAAAAACTTGATAAATCTCAATAAATAATAACCAATAAGTTTATCATTATTTTATCTTCGAGAAACATACCACATATTTGGCTTTTCCCGTTAGTCGGAATTCAGCAATAGCTAATTCAGTCAATAATGTATCATTCAATAGTATGAAACACTTGATTATAAAAATAGGCCTAAGAAAATGAGGGTGTAAATTTACGGTGTGAAAGCTTTGCACAAAACTTCATTAAAATTCCTACTGAAAGTGTTGTTGTCAAACATAGAAAAAAACTTAACTATTGTCCTCTGGTTTCTATTTTTGATATCTTGGCTGGCCAACAACCGTTCAAAAAATATGAATTATTTGCAATAAATTAATTTACAGACGTAACGGATAAAGAATCAATTTCTGAAACTGACATAGAAATTTTAATCGATGACGACATACCTGAAAGTGAAACAAGTGTGACGTCACAACCAAACTCCGATGACGTTACATTTGAAGAAGATGATAAGAAACCAAAGGACAAGAAGAAGAACAGTCGTAAAATCAACAAAGATCATCATCGAAAGAAAAATAATCGTGATGACAAAGCACAAGAAACGACAACACCCGGAGGATCAGCATTGTCCAATAAAGTAGTCAGCCATGTTGTTTTCTGGTTTTTATGCGTTTTATCTTCTCTATTGAATTTTGTACAGAATTGACCACCTTCGTCGACTAAATGAAGGTGGACTATGCATGAAAATACTACCCCCTGGCGGGATGTAGGCCATGAAGCAGATGCGGAAAGAGGACTATGAACAGCTAAGCATGGCAATGATAAGGACAATTCGGAAGAAGATATGAGTATATAAAAACAACTTTTCATTTTGAAACACAATTTCATTCTGAATAAGAACATAATTTGGCTATCAATGTGATCTAAGCACATACTCATCCCAAATCATACAATTCTGAGTGACTGTTCTCGAAAGGAATTTCAAAATACCTGCAAATGATATTCCATCATGGGTGATGAGTTGTTCCCATTTTATAGCACCATATTTTGTCCTTGTCAACTAGTGCGTCCGTATTATGCAGAAAGAAAAACTTTTAGTGAATCCTTCAAAAATTTCAAACTTTTCGTCTTCTATGGTTTCAATTTCTTTTTTTTTAAATTCCAGGTCAATTAAATTTATACCGTTCATTTTGATGGTAGAAAATAATTTAATCTCGTAAATAGATCATAAATCATTCTCAAATAGAATCGGGAGAGCCAACTTATTTAATCAGTCTCAGCCCAAGTCCTCATATGCATTATCAATTGTTTGTTACTCGTGATATATTTTTAATAAAGTTCCCACGTTCATCAGTTCAATTCCAAATGTGGCATTGGCAAGATAGCTTGATGCAATTTGACGACTTTTTGAAAAATTAGAAAAACAATAGGTAAATGTTAGAAAAAAACAAAAGACTAGACCATAGACAAGAAAAAAAAAACTCCAACCATGACTCGTCAAAATCATTTGCTTGGGAATGCCAGAAATCATTTATCTAGTCTAGGACTACGGTGTACAATATCTTGGCTCTGATGATTACTACCAACTTCGATTTTACGAAAATTTTGACACCAGCTTCACACTTGATTCAAAGGCGTTAAAACTTTAGTCTGCTTCAATTTCGACTCTGAAAAGTGGTCAGGAGATATCGTAGTTTTTGACTACTCTGAAGCATAAATATCCTTGATTATCGGTGTCGATTAACGTGAAATTTACCGTTTATAAACCGATCAACCTAGCATATTCAACATTCGAACTTATTTGACATCATTTTAATAGTGTACAAACTGATTTTTCTCTTATTTTAAAATGTTGTAAATTATAACAAAGCATTAATTTTATTCTTTGCTTATTTCCTACCTTGGTTTATCTTACTTATTATTATTTTTATGTTTCTTTTATGCGGTTTAAACCTTGTTCACATTATTTTACCGTGTTGTCATCGATAATGATAAAACATCATGGAAATATATAATAAATTTCCGAACATTTCTTTTGTTGTAGTGAATAGGATGAAAGCAGCATCCCCTCAGAATCAAGCCTATTTGTTTCAATTATTTCCTTTATAGTTTATTTGGGCGGTGTTTGAACTGGGGGAGGGGAGAGGGAGTTTTGTTAGGTAACATGCCTATTATTGACATGAATAAAAAAAAAGCGACTCCCGTAGTGAGTGTACCAGGTTATGTTCAGGCCATAATTTTATTACGATTTTCCTCATTTTATTTATATTACTAGTCTAGGGACTGTCTGTGTTAGCCAAGTGAATAAACACCCTGTCCGTAGGCTTCAGTCCTTTTACACAACTTGATGTAAAGTAAACTTACAAAATTAGTTACCTCTATATTGGTACACATACTTCTGGAGCGCCAACAAAACAGCTTACGCAGGTCACGGTACAATATACCTGTTCAATTTTAATTATTTCGTCACAATCTTATGACATGTGAGTGCTTTGCACATACTTATTCAGCGAATTTGCGATGCCGTTACTGTGGTATTTTTACGGAATATTGTAAAACCGCTAGAAGTGGACAGTGTAATATTTTTGGTTGCCAGTGAGATTTTGTACCGGTAGTAGTCGCCCAACTAGAAATGGAGGCTAGACTAGGCTAATGAAGTAATGGTATTGTCTGAGCGCTAGACGTGCCCGGTACGCCCAGACTAGGACATGGTAACCCGTCATCTGTTTAAGTGGTTGAAGCGTGTTACAAAATCGCTCGTATGATTATATTGGTGAAACAGTCATAAAACCGTGTATGCTAAAAGCAGACACTGTTGTATTGAAGGAAACGAAAAGCAAATGGCTATCTAATATTTCTCTTTCGGATTCAACGATGAAAGCGCCTATTGATGAACTCGCAAGGATATTGAAGCACAAGTTCTGGAGAAGATACACACATCACCTTTTTTCCACATTCAATGTGATGTATAAGGATATATGGGTCACTATATCTACGTGATCTTACCGTTGTTCGGATATTGCAAACAAAGATGCACAATCGAATTGGTCCAAATAACAGATAACGAAATACACCTAAAACGCAAGTATATGTGATGAAACCGAATTTCTAACCAACCAAAAACGATAAAAAAACAAGCAACGCTTGAGGAAAAATACGTCATCAACTTTTTTCGCATAAAACGTTTCATGAAAATATCAAGGATATGAAGTCGGGCAATGACCTTGTTTCAGGCAAATAGCATGCACTATCAACAATAAGGGGTTGAAAGTTTTGAAATGCAAAGTATATATCTATTCTTATGTACTCACTACACATGAAACAACTGATGTTGCCCAAATGTCGCAGTTAATGGTGTACGTTCGTTTTACTGGATCTCTCAACATCGAGTAGGAAATGCTGTTCCGCAAACTGCTTGGAACTACAACCAGCAGTTAATGTGTTCAATGCTGTTGCCTCGTATTTTGACAGAAATGGCATAGAATTGGAGAACCTTGAGGAGATCTGCACTGATGATGTCTCTGCAATTCTTGGGTCTCACAGTGGTTTTATCAGTAAGATGAAGCAGAGAATCCCAGGCAATATCTTACCTCGTGTACACGGGATGACATAAAAAAAAACGTTAAATCTGGATGATGAACTTAGGTCTGAAGTGAAAATGCACAAACAACTTCTGAAACAGGAGTTCGAGTGGCATTTCCCAGATCTGACAACACCGAATTCTCTGAATGAATGACAAAGAATCCCTTTCGTCTCCACGACGACATTTTGCCCGAAGATTTACAGGAGGAAATGTGGCGTGGTAAACTACCATGCTGCCCGGGGCGGGTTTCTGATAATGATGCCCCTTATTCCTAACTTCGAAAATAATTCGGGAGATAAGCAGATTATAGATGTCTTTTCACATGGGAATAAATAAAATGAAGTTTAAGTAAAATAGAAACGTTTGTTTATGAGATAAATCATCAAATTAAGAAACAAACACACATGTTCAAGATCACTCATTTATTAACAAAGAGCGAGTCACTTATTTTCACGTTCAATCGTTACTTTTCCCGCACCCCGCTCGATTTTCCGGCATGGTTGTAAACATTTTGCACGTTTTTGCACGCTGTTCGTTAGTTTTTGGTTGTGATTCGGAAATTTCAGTACGCATCAAATTACTCAATAATTATTCTATCTCCTTATATACAGTAGTTCAGTTGTACTAATAAAAATTTTAGTCTAGCTTCCACTCTGGGTCGCAAAACTATTTAAACTTGCTATGAATAATAAGCCACGTCTGTGTGTACTATGTTTATGAACTACAGCTTTATAAACCTTTAATTATTACGTATAGTTATGAGCAGTGTTCCCTCTAAGGTGTGCGCGCGCACACAGCTTTCAGAGGCTGCGCACACGCATAGATAAACTGCCCACAGAAGTATTTCGATGTAATGTAACAATGTGCTCGGTTGGCAGGTTGAGAAAGTTTGTTGTTGGCCCACTTATTACCCGGTTAGAACGCCAAAATTTCTTCATTGGTTTTTGCACAAGTATTAGTCATTTCCAAAAAAGTGTGCACATACCAAAATTTCTGCGCACACATACTACAAAAAATTAGAGGGAACATTGGTTATGAGCCTACTCAATTGCATTGTTTCGTTAGCAGCAGCTATTTTTTTTACCAATTGTAAAAAACAGTCAGTTTTAAAAAGAGGGCTTGTTTGAAATCTTTTTTTTTCAGAATCTTTTGTATTTTTTATTGAAATCCCCAACGGTGCCGGACTAATAATTTTGAAAGTGTAAGCAAATATTTGTGCTTTCACTTTCATCGCGTAACTTTATCGCCAAGTTACCTGTAACAAAGTCATAAGATTTTAATAGGAATGTTCGACCAAGAAATCAAGGCGAGAAAAAGTATAAAGCATAGCGACAACATACGTGGGTCCGAATCAGGGCCGGATTGAGACGACGATTTAAAATGAGTAATAGTTCAAAATTGATTGTCAAGGCCACCGAGAGTCGACGCGCCTGACGCACGACGTTTGATGCATTAAATCTCGAAATGATATGTGTGTTCTGAACGAAAGAGCCTATAATTCTCATTAGGCGGATAAATGCAATTTTTTACTGTTTTATAGTACAATTTTGTGCAAGAATATTGCTACAGTCAATAGTAGTCTCAAAATCGATATTTAATTACAAAGTTTTTTCCTCAAAAGTATATACTCTCCAAATGCTTGGGTCGCGAGATATCAGAATAATATTATTAGGGTTGCGCCGAAAAGTAATTGCGGACCCCCGGACTAAGCTAAATTTTTACCGGTGCTATTAAATAAGAGAGTTGAATATTCTGAATTAAAATGATTAAAACATATATATAAACCAGTTTAAGGCGCTAACTCGCGAAACCACCCCTAAAATGAACACCAAAAATGCTGCGATTGTAAAATAGAAAACAGATCTAATAACGCAAACTCTATGCTTGGTTCTGCTGCCCCCTACAACGTGCTGCCCGGGGCGGATGCCCCTTTCGCCCTCCTCTAGGCACGCCACTGGAAAGAATACTTGGAGATGAAATGTAGCTCCACTGCAAAGGATGACTTTGAATCAATGGCCCTCAACGATTTTTGTGCGGAATACGTGCGTGTATACAAGAATGTTGGTGAAGTGGTTTTGCGTACACTACTTCTATTTCCTGTCACTTATCTGTGTGAAAGTGGCTTTTCTAGACTGGTGAGTGTGAAAAGAAGATCTCGCAACAAACTCGAATGTGAAGCTGATCTTCGATGTGCCTTGTCTACGACAAAACCTAGAATAAATTTCCCGTTTTTTAAAAAGAGCTCCATCCATTTCATTGATGAATACAATGAATATGACACGCCTTTCATTCATTGTTTCTTTATAGGGTGAGTTTTATTGAAAGAGCTCAGGGGTGGGTGCAGCCAAAAAAGTTTGGGCACCCCTGGTTTGATAGATAATGCACTGCTGTGTAGGCGTAACGCTGGGATAGCATTATTACGTCATAGGTATAAACAGAAGGCATACAAATAAACTTAAAATTGTAAAATATTCGTAACTGGTAATTACGCGAGGTATAGTCGAACTTTACAATATGGACGATGAAGAGCCGCTTGGTTCTGGAACAACCTCTACTGTATCGGATACAAATTTTCGGAAAAATTTCGAGATCGCTTTCAATATATTATTAGATATCATGGTAAGTTCATGAACACTGTGCAATTTATGGGAGTATAGTCTAGGTCTGGGCCGATTCGACAATATTCGCTTTTATTTCAATTTTATTGCAACTTGTTAATAATCGTATGCAGGATAAAATGTTGTGCAATGAGGGAGGATATTTAAATGTTTTGATAATCATTCTATTAATTTTGGATTCGAGAGCGGTTGCCGGGGTGGAAAGAATCTCCAGGTTTATTATATAGATAAAATATGTAATTGATGCGATTTTCTGCGTGGATTCGGCTTGACACGCCTAGTATATTTTTAGCTCAATTTGGTTATATTATATATATGATTGTGTTTGTGGGCGTTGTCGTACTTCGTATAATTCAATTCGGTACAGTTAATTGACAATTTTCCCAGGTTTTGTTTTGGAAAAATTCACCATTACTCATTTTTCTAGTACTCTTTATACTGGATTTAAGTAGAAGAGTGTTGTATTGCTTTCGAAATAACCATCTTCTTTATTTCATTCTGAAATTTGAGTTAAATCATCTAACCAAGCAAAATAAAGGATAAGAATTCCGAGGTCTCTGTACAGGGATTTTGAGAAATCTGAATTTTTTCACGTGTTCTTTCTTCGCAGATATTGGCTTTGATGCTCCAGTGTTGTTCTGCAGCTTGGTACTCGCTCATTGAAAATAGAACCTACCACGTCATCACGCAACTCGGCCTTGCATCAATATGTTATAAAGTTTTGTTCTGCATAAACGTTTGGATTAATAAAGTATCCGGAGAACCGTAACTGGGTGGTAGTTATTTAAACAAAATTGTCTTGTCTCTCCTTGGGCTTCGGGAATATCAGCTGAGGGCAGCTTAGGTTCATAACAAGACAAGACATTTAGCCACTAGATGCAATAACCCTTTTCTAACCAATAAATTACAAAAGCACATCCTGGGATTTAAAGGTGGGTTATCAGGAAAAAAAAATTTTTTGATGAATTTGATTTTATATATTTTTTTCTGAGTTTTTGACTCGTTTTGACGGGTGGTAGTTATTTAAACAAAAGTGTCTCATTTCTCCCTGGGCTTCGTGAACATCAGCTTAGGACGGAAAAAGTACTTCCGCAAATGTAACGTGTTAGTGGAGTAAATCTGATCCATAGTTTTCTTCTTGAGCAGCGGACCGAACTAATTACCGGTCGATTTTTGCAGGGTTGACTTTTAAAAATTCGTGTCTTGCAAACGAAGTCCAATTTATGTAAGCGGTAAACGAATTTTTTTTATCTAGAATCAAATTCGCCACCATAATTTTTCCGTGATAACCCAACTTCAAGCTGAGATCTTCGTTTGTGAGGGGGCAGCGGCCAATCCTACGCTAAAAATTGGGCAAACAAAATCGAAGTTGCAATGTAAATTAAAAGCTGGTATACTTTATTGGGGCCTTATGTGAAATGACAATTTTTGCATTTGAAAAGCTAGCTCGACAGAAACTTAACATGCCGTATGGAACTATGCCTTGAGGATTCATTACTTGTGGAATCGCACTATATAGTTATTGTCACGGTCATCAAACAGTGACCATACAGCTGTCAAGTCAATAAATCAATCGCCTTTGCTTTATCGACCGAAGATTGTTAATTACCTCCATTGTTAATTACCTCCTGCTGGGAACAGTAATTTAAACAAGACGTCACATCGTATGATTAATACGCACAATGTGTGAACGCGGTAATTGGTTTCGATGTATACAGCTAAAACGCTTTTTCGGCGGGTTTCTTCGTTTTTTACCCTCTATGCGCGCAATTTGTACTGAAAACATATATGTATATCAAGAACTGCCGCACAGTTATATGCCTCTATCAATTTTTTTTCTAATCTAGTTTAAAATATGCGCAAACCCATGTCATTTGACAATACTTTCACAACAAAACATTTTACTCGTTCACCTAAATCCGAACATCATATGTATATAAGTCATAATTTTGAAACCATTGTATTTCAAAAACTTCTATAAACAGTATTTTTCAAATATTAAAAAAACAATACAAGTGTACAATGAGAATTGTATTACCAAATCACAAGTCTGTGCACAAGGTTAACTGTGGCTTAATCGTGATCGATTGGTGTCGTTTGATACGCACCCAAGAAAATAAAATCTGACAGCGAAAACATTGTTCAAAAAATGACAATATATATAGAAACGAAAGAATATTTTACATATTTTTATAACAATGAACAGACTTGACAAATTATCAGTTCGCAAACAATCGAGAGTGGTGGAGTTACTTCTTGGTTGTCTTTTTTAGTGTGGCCTTCTTTCTAGCAGCAACTTTTTTTGCCTGTGTTTTCTTTTTTGGTGATTTAACAGATTTTTTCACAACTTTTTTTGCAGCTGGCTTTTTCGTAGTTTTCTTTGGTGTTTTTTTCGTAACCTTTTTTACAGCTTTCTTCTTTGTGGTTGCCTTTTTAGCTGCTGGTTTTTTTGCTTTCGTCGTCTTCCTTGGTTTCTTCGTGGTCTTCACCGTCTTTGAGACAGAAACTGTGGCTTTAGCGGCCTTTTTCTTTTCCCTTGCTGCTTTTCTCTGGTCCTTCTCCTTCTGAGTTTGCTGAGTACTTATTTTAACTGAACCATTGGCATACTTGCCCCTTGTATTGACTAAATAACCAGCTATAACAAGGCGCCTGATTGTCTGTGTTAGATGTCGGCTTGCGTTAACTCCCACTTTGTAATTGCTGCAAATGTATCGAAGACATTTCTGAGTAGAAATTCCTTTAGCTGAATGTTCTTCCACAATTGCCTTTCTAATCATCTCCTTGTATGGAGGATGTTCTTGAGCAGGACGAGCCTTTGTTGATTTCTTTTGGGCTGACATCTTGCTAGTTTTTGCACAAAAACTTCGAATATTGGCGTAAAGATAGATCGCAGTTTCGGAAAATCCGCCGCGTTGTAATAACAAACCCTCGAATGAAATCGTCGATAATATATATTATACGTGACGTCAGATCGTGCGCGGACGCCAACGAAACGGTAAACATTGTACGCGTAACACTCGAGAGAAATGAGAGCAATTCAAATTTGTGCTTGTAGGTGTACGAAATGTAGCATTTATCGAAAAAACTATTCGAAATTTACACTTCAAAACTACAGGACATGACAGAAGAATCTTAGCCGAATGTAACGATATGAAAATTTTGGTCTTCAGTCGAAATTATCAACATGTAGCAACAGGTCAAAATTGATATGCCAAAAATGTCATACATTTTTCAACTATAACTAAGTTTTTGCGGGCAAATTTGTGAATTTTAAAAGAAATTCAATATATTATCATTATCACGTTTAAAATAAAGTCATTGTCTATCACAAGATTGATACCTATTACAAACCACTTGTTCCTTTCCTATAATATCGATCAATTCAAAGTTGTACGTCAAACACACTTTTCTCGAACCAAATACCCTGGTGTTTTTAAGAACAATACCATTGAAATTAAAATTTTGATTGAATTTCAGAACACAGAGTATGTTAAATTCTTGGTGTACAATTTGTTACCTTATTTTTCTTTAAAACACATTTTTATATTATTAGCCTCCTATTATATATATTTTAATGTGATTTCAACCTTGCGATTGGAAATTCCCTCATTTCACATAATTACCGAAAATCAAATCTTCCAAAATTATCTGTTGTTATATTTGAAAATCTTACCGGAAGAAACATATTACCATAACATTATATGGCATTTTCTTTGTTAACCAAATCTAATTTGACTCGCAAAAAGCATAGTTTTTAATAAAATTCGATTGAAATTGTGATTTTTATGAAAAAAATGTTTACATCAGAAATTTCATGCAATGCTTAAATATTTTGTAAATATCATTTCGTTCTCACATGAATATCACTAGAAAAATAGTAAATTGGATATCGTTCACTGATGTCAAATTGGTAGCCCTTAAATGAAGAGTTTGAATACGATAAATGAATGAAATATAACTTGAAAATGTGATAAGTACCCTAAAAATATAATGTCAGGTACGGTAGTTTAATTTTAAAGTAGTCACTTTAATTCAAAGCATCAGGTTTTCTCACAATCAGTTCTAGCTGATGCAATTCAGTAATCGTGGCGTGCGATCAGTTTAAAAAGGTTGTTAATCGACCCATAGTCAATCAGCATTCGAATATAAAAAAAGCTTTGTTTTGTGCTTTGTGCCAACTTGAGCTCTTTCGCTCAGTTCTTTGATGAAAGTTTTTGTTCAAATACTTCTAAATATATTTGAACAAATTTCGGCGGACTTAAAACAACCTTCATAAAAAAAATATCATTTTAAAAGAACATAATAACAAAACGATCCACTTCTTGTACAATAAAATTACATTGCGGCACAATTTTTGACAGAAATTATCATATCAAGAACTTTTCATCTCCGCCAAACAACATTCATTATATTGGCCAATAAACGTCACGTTCAATTCTATATGCATTCTCATTACAGTAACCGCAATTATCCCATGAGATCATTTCACAGTAACTCGTAACATATATTGGTTCAAATTAATTTTATATATTAGCAATGGAAATCGTATCGGAAAATATGGTAAGTTGTGAACTGTATTTTTTTTTAAATAGTACAGTTTTACATGGGAATAGGCTTTGAAATAAGTAAATTTGAATGGTAAAAATAATCGAAATATAATTATATTTGAATAGATCAATATATTTGACCCGTTATGGAGATTTGCCAGCCGTGTTTTCATATAGTGAACCAATATTAACTCATTTCCTTTGCAGCAGGTTGAGTAAAATACACCTATAAATCAACCCGCTGTTGAAATTTGATTCAAATTCCGATGCTATTTCATAGAAACATTTTCGTGCTGGTGGTTGGTTAATTAAAACATTCTTTGTTAGATAAGTTGCACTTGAACGTAAATTGCAGTTCCTGTTATTTAAAGGACTGAAAGACTTGCTTAATACGGCTTGACGAAGGTAATTGTTTGATGTATTAGTGGGATAAAAGCATCTCGCGGGCTGGTGTATTTTGAGTCTCAGCCTTTTTCCAGTTTTATTGCAGAATATTTACATTGGAGAAGTAAGGAAGAGAGGTTTTGGAGAAAATACTCTCATAGTTGGAGTCATTTAATGTTGAAATCTGATCCCTTATTTTCACAGGATTACAAAATATGCATTATCATGATATTAATTGCAATTTTTGTTCCGGACGATACCGTGTGCTCATTATCGGGTGAATACAGTAGCATATCTTCACTAATCATGTACTTAAGTTTAATATATGAAACTTCATGTCAATGTCAATAAGCTCAATTTTACCATGATGCCTTTTTTTGCTTCTCGAGCACTAACTGTGTGAATTCTCTTTTTTTAATATTGTGTATGATTATTTTTCAATGGTTGGAAAAAATAAACTTGAATTGACTTTGGTTTTTCCATCAAAAACCCAATGTACATGGCGAAAACAGGAAACCAGGGTCTCATTTGAACGGCAGTGAATATTTATCCATCAATAAATATACATCGTCAGAAATATTAGACGTATGAATATTAAAATTGTTAAAAATCCCTTTCATAGAAAAATGTTTCGTCTACGATATTTAGATAATGTTTATGCTAAGCGAGGGTAAAATGAATGGACTCTTTCGTCTTGTTTTTTCTAGTGTGAAATTTCATTCTTGTTTCAACAGAAACTTGTAAGGATCGTTGTTTCAATCGCTTGTCCGATAACGAGAATGAATGCCGATGCGATTACAGATGCTCATCGTACAATAACTGCTGTGACGATTACGTCGACATTTGTCTTCAACAGGATACGGCAAAAGGTACCCGGCAAAAGAATAGATTCAATTGAAATGGAGGCGTCAGAAGAAACTATACTAATCTCCGAGAATTTTCGATTTTCTTGCATGTTCCTTCACAGTTTCAAGTTTGAGATAATACATGGAGAAAGGGTTGTAATATACGAAAGGGGCTAACAACTCTCGAAATATTTTGATGCCTGGTAAATTGTGGAATCATAGTAAACTTGTATGCAATTACGCAAAATTCGAAATGCAACTCCGGCAAACAAAAATGTCGAGATCGACTCCCAGTGAATTTGAAAATATTACTCCCGTTGCACCTTTTTACCAGCTGAAAAATATCGGTAAATTTCGGTATTCATATCCCGGTTGAAATGATGCTCTCTGGCCACATATATTAGACGACTGGATTTCTTCATTAAAAACTTTACAGAGATTCATTGTGTTAAACTAACGATCCATCTCAATTTTATTCTAGTGAGCTGTTTTGGACGATGTTATGAACCCTCTACTGTTAACGTAAAGGGAAGATGCGCCTGCGATAAACAGTGCTCCATAACCGAAAACTGCTGCGACGACTATGTACCAGTCTGTGCAAGTTTGAGTAAGTTTGTGCTTCCCTGTTTAGTTTTGTATGCATCCCATATCTCACTGTCACTGAGATTATCAAATTGATCCCATCTACATTAAAAAAACGATTAATGTATTAGAAGTGTTTCGAGAGCTGAGAGCAGCACTGTGGAGTTCCTGAGGACGATATTTATTTTAATGATTGAAAATATTTTGAGTTTTTTTCACGAAATATTGTGAAGATTTGCAATTTATTATCTTTCATCAGGTTAAACTCTTGATAAACAAATAAATGTGTCTCCGAGTGAATTGTAACCTGATAGTTTTCCCCAAAACTTGACACGATTTTGACGAAGAGTCGGGGGCATTGCTTTGTACTTATTATGAGGCTCAAACCCAAAGTATGTATATATAATTTTTTTAGTATTTCTGCTAATAAAATACTGCTAAAATGAATAAATCAAAATTACAACGTTACAATATCAGTACGCCCTTATTTTATTACTAAACTATATGTGTATTCAATTGCTAGTTACGTGCGAGAACAGATGCGGTGCCCCAAGAGATATAACTCTTCAGTGTCAATGTGATGCCAACTGCATGAATAGATTTGATTGTTGTATGAGATATGCCGTGGAATGTGGAGGTTTGAATAGATTCTAATTTTTTACAATATTGAGAAAATAAATTTTTTTGTTTTCTACAATAGTTCAAATACATTTTGTTAATCAAAGGTAACTTTGACTCAATTATATTTTAGAACACTGAATTAAACGGTTCAGATTTTGCCTCGCATCGCACTTGCTTATGCGTTCCACCTATCGGAAAAAACAGTGGAAAAATAACTATGAATTTTGCGTGGTTTAGAATATAAATATCCTAATATCACAGTGGTATCATAATATCACAATAGGAACCGTGCACGTAAACATTTCGATCGTCTCTAAGATGAATATTTAGTACAAAAAACACCGGGGTTTTGAAACGTTATTGTTTTTTTGCTTACTTTTTTGTTAAAACTTGGAGAATCCCTGAATTTATATTTTGCTGGTCCCTCGATCAATAAACAATTTTTCCTGCTAATTATAAAACTGTGTATTTTCCAACCAAAACTTGTAATTCATTGTTCACATATATATGAAAATGAAAAACATTGTTAGTCATCGATTTAGCAACTATTTTAACAACGTATCTGTGAATTTATATGATCAAGAATATTTGAAACACTTTCTTTTGAGTGTTTTCATGAGTAGCGTCGAGATCTTTTTGATTTGTGTTCAGTTTGTTAGCTTTTTTCAATTCTGTTATTATTCCAGTAAATTTTGCCTATTTTTCTGTTAAAGGTATTTCAGAAGAAACTTCAGCTGGTACGTACAAAATGAGTGATCATCATTATACATATTTCTTTCCTATATCTTTTGTTAATTACGTAATTTTTGCTAAAATATTATATCCACAGTACTTGTATGCACAGTACGAATCATACCACTAAATTTTATATAGATTCTATACATAGTTGCCAAGATCGTTGCTTTGAGACAGATACTACGATTGAATCAAGCTGTAGTTGCAAGTCTACATGCCAGGAATCTCAAACTTGTTGCCATGATTATTTCTTCAATGCTTGGATACAACAGAAAACGGCAATCGTAACTGCATTTTGATTAATATTTATGAGATTATTTATAATTAGAGGTGGAGAAGTTCGGGTTTATCGGGTTGAGGTGGTCTATAGTGTAGAAGCAATTAACGCGTTAGCTCGCATATATATAGGTTGCTATTCTTAGCACTGCTTGAAGAGAATGTGTAAAGTGTTCGTTAAAAAATTAAACCATCAAGAATGGTGCTTTGTAAATTTTCAATGATATTTTCCCTACACAAGCTGCTTGTCTTCTGTGATACGATACAATAGCTTTTGTAATCAATTCTCATTGTCCCATTTGGTAAAATTGTCAATAACTGTTTAAATGCTCAACTCTGGCTGCATCTTCGCTTCACTTGTGCAATTTTTCGTATATCAGTCATTTTGCGTCAAAAAATCTGTAAATATTTTATTGCGTCTGTAGATTTTATCTCATTTATTTGTCTCCGTTATACAACCTATAATATTGCATTTTAGATGTTAATAATACAACCGAGGAGATGGCAACAACCCAATCGGGGGGCACAAGCACTTACAAATTCACAAAACTCGGGATCTGGACTGCAATTTTTTCAATCATGATGATTTGTTCTGGTTGGGGGAACAAGAACTGAAAACACTGCTAGAACGGACTCTAAACTACTAGAATGCAGTATCTTGCTATACCAATTTCACAGACATTTGAACAAACGAAAATAGAGTTTGTAATGAAACGTGTCTTACCATTTTATCACATTACACAGTTTATTTATATTTTGCCTCCTTGAAAAACGTGGTCTATTTTCCAAATTGCAATTATAATAGAATTCAACATTTGAAATAAATTTTTCTCCAAATGCTGATATTTCGACTATCAAAATGGCATTCATAAAGGGTGATTGATGCTCGGTTTTGAATATATCTCTCTTGTTATAACTCTAAACGTCTTCTTTATAAACGCTTCTTTAATTTAAGGAATATTGAATAAGACGTCCATGAGGCATGCGAGATTTATTTTGACTTTATATTCGTTTGTTACAATACCGTAACATCGCATGCGAACGTTAAACGTGTGATAGGGCGGGAGCTATTCACCCCAGCGCACATTGGTTTGAGCAGACTAGATTCTCTAATTTCATATATTCATTATGTCTACGACGCCTGGACCGTTTAAGGCAGGGTCGTCCAACCTGTGGCCTTGTCGATCATATTGCGGGGAGATAATATTGATTTTGAAATTACCGCAATGCTCGCGGTCATTGTCCCTATTAAGGGTGCGACTAGGGTATTGGTCTGTTGCTTGCTGTGATGAAAAAAATCAAGCGTCTTGGCATGTCTTCGGCGAAACTTTTGAAAATAACTACTGATGTCGCCCCATCAATGGTTGGAAATTGCATTGAAATTGCATACCGTGCCGTGATTCCACATCTCATCTGGTGGTCAGACTACCGGTACTGTGAAAGATTTGATACCTCTTCGTTTTGGCCTCCGTGTCCATACATTTGAGCAGTGCTCTCTTGTTAATATAAGCAATCGGGATTTGCAGTTATTAATAATATATATGGTTGGATTTTCTCACTAATTAGCTCTATCTTCTTCAGCAAAATATACCAAATGGTGAACGATAACAGATTACTTGTCATGTCATTATCGTTAATAAATTATAAAAAGACCTTTTTAATTGATTCAGTTGTGTGCACTCATGTATATAAGACAGTGAATGGAAAACAATCGTTTATACTTTATAGCAAACGAGTCGTATCTCTTCTAAAATTTACAGGATAGCAAGAAAACAGAAAAATATCAAATTGGTGTTTGATCAAACTTGTAGATAAAAAATAGCCACTTTCTGCAGGACGTGTACTTGATGAACAAATAAATTACTTCCATATAGCCTAACAAGTATTAAATTCGTCATAATATAGACTGAACCAAAGAGATTCGTTGGTGATTTTTTTTGCTTTATATTACCCCTATTTTTCAAATTCAATTCAAACTGGTTCGATTTTTAACAAATAGTAGGCCAAATTGCCCCTGAAACGCCCGACCTGCTTTACGACGAGATATTCATAAGTTTCTAATTAACGTGAAAAGTTTGGGCTTCAAGAACTTTGAGTGAAAATCTGTCTATTATTATTTTCTTTCACAAAACTTAACATCAAATATTTCCCAAAATCGTCGGTTTTATGCTTTGATGGACCATTATATTTTACCAATGTCACTTTCCAATGCGGTATGAGTTCGAGGGGTATTTAGGGCCATAGTGCTGTAGGATTGCTCATACACGTTTAAAGGCGGATCGCATAATCAACGGAAAGGCGAAGAATGCATGTATATAGAAGGTTTCCACCCAATTAGCAGGGTAGTTCTAAAATTGAAATTTCACTGTATTAGAAATCGCATAATTTAAGATTTCTTCCCATTCTTTAGAGAAATAATTCTTTAGAGAAAAATTCAATACTTCAAAGTCGCATACATTCCTGCATATTTAGTTACGTATTGTATGCATTATGTATAGTTGCATATATATAGTTGCGTAATATATGCATCTATATTATACCATGCCACCAAGTGTGGGCCCGAGGAGTAGCCTAAATGTTTATTGAGCATCGCCCCCATGCAGCGGGTAACTTGAAATTCTATTTAATCGTTTTAGCAGGGTTAATAGGCTATATACCCACACTTGGCCATAAGGTATAGCACCGAAATCTGAAACTATAAAAATAATTTTCACGTTGTACTAAAATTTTCACAGCTATATTAGAAAGAAACAAATCATCAGGATTAAAAGATATGTATTCCGCAGCTTACGCATATAATACAATTTTATGTATTGTTGAAATATACCTTACAACCATGCTGATTATTGGTCTCGTCAAAGCCGCCAAAATACCCAGAAGAGGAAAACGGCAAACTTATAAATTTTGGTTGTTGATAACCATCTCTATTGGCGCCTTCGTATCTGTTTGTGATTCAGTCTTATATTATTTATTATTGGTCGCTGGTGATTTTCTACCACATCTATGTGACGGGATAATCAACGCAAAGTGTATTACTGTATCTTTGTCATTAGGCTGTACTTATACCATGATGTGGTTACGACAGAGGACATTATACTTGGATTCTGCAATTGAAAGGTGGGGCCCGAGGCATGCCAAAAAATTCAGCACTGCTGTCGGTATAATACTTGTAGTATTAGTAGTATTTAATGCAGCTTTATTTATCGCGACTCAAAAACATGAAGGAGTGGACACGCTTGGCTGCATTTTGGTTTCTTCTGTAATTCCAAACTGGGTGGCATTCATAATACTTGGAACCATTTCTGCAACTATGGAATCCATATTGCTGTTTTTATTCATCTATCCTTTGTTAAAGTACATGAAATCATCAACTCTGGAGCGACAAAACCTGAACTATATTCCCCAAGTTACTTTACGAGCATTCTTCACCACGTTGGTTTGTGTTTTATCGGATGTCGCTGCTTCTGCATCTTCAATAATTCTAATACATGAGCACAGAGTTGCAACGGCATCCATAGGATTACAGATAAGTATCCTAATCAATGTTATTTCTTGCATTGCATCATTTAAAAAATGGAAAATACTGATTTTGCGGTTTAACAACGTTTCACCTACTGACGAGAATATGGAGACGACAGAGCGGAACGGCAATTGAGGCTAATATTATATAATATTCCGTGGAGACGTCAGAACTGTGTATAAAACGGTAAAAAACATAAAATAAGAGATATTCAGTAGTCAGAGGCCGCCACGACTAAGTTTTATGAACTAAACAAAAAGACTCTTTCAATGAAACTACTTTGTAATTCGTCATAACTGCTTAATCCGCACTCTGCGTATAATCATCTATACGTATTAATAATGAGTTTTTAACTGTCCGCTAGAAGCTTTTATTGTGGGCACCAGCCGGCATTATCATACATATAATATGCCATTGCTTTCACCATATCTCCATTCAGTTGTTTGCTTGTTCTTTCTTGAATTCTTTCATTCAAGAGGCTGATGTAATTTTCATTATTATTTGTAGATGATAGAAATGTATTGTGTACTGTATTTTTTGTTATTCTCTTGCTCCTACTTTTAGCGACCGTTCTTTCATCTTCAAATTTTCTTATCATTTCTTGAAGACGTTTCTTATCATTTTTCATTCGCTCAAATCCGTATTTTTCAACTTTTGTCCAAAATGTATTGTTAAAATAATCATAAAGTAAAATATCCTGAGAAACACAATAAAATGATTAAGTAGTTCATTAGCAGTTGGGTATTAGCAATTAACATCAGTACAAAAGCAAACACCATGTGAGTAAAACCTTCATATTGTAATAGGCATCTCCATATTGGAAGTCGACCAGTTATTGTAGCCGGGACACCATAGACTAGGGGTTTCAGAGCGTTATACATCTACCTGTTTATTCAAAAATCTGACAATCCTTTTTTCCTTTTCCGTATATACGTGAGGTTCGTATCGACCTTTGTTGCGATATCTACCGATTAATTCTTCCCATTCCATACACAACACTTCCTTCAGATTAAAAAATACAAAAGTGTTTCAAATAATTAGGAATCTTCAATTTATGTGAGAGATTCGGTTCTAAAGATGACGATAATGAACTGAAATATTCTGTTGCACTTCAATAATGCTTAAAATGTACATTTTCAAGCATGCAATTTATACCAAAATGGTTTTATGAATTGTATATCAGCTGTCATCATCCTATCTTTGCTGCAGTGTGCATCTGATTTGCTTAAATAATTATTGTACCTTCAATAAAAGCAATGATTCCAAATAGTGGTCTGTAAGCATCACCAAATCAAAGACAGAATCCAGTTCTTTTGCTTTATTTATTACATATTCTTCAGTTTGATTGTCTGAATCTAGCCCAAGATCGTATGATTGATAGTTGGTGCTTCTAAAAACGCAAAGACAAAACTTGCCAAAATATCACCGACGTTTGTAATGTCTTTTCCCTGCTGATGTACGTTGAATTTACTATAACGTAACCATTTGTGACAATGATAAACTAGTTTGTGGGCAATGAAAATATTTTATATGGAAGAAATGTAACTTCACTCAGTCGTAGTTTTGTTTTATTTATTCCAGTAGACTCTTTTCTTCCTCGTTATCACTAAAAAAGCTTTTCGGTCCTGGTATTAGGTTTTCTCAGTACATTATACATTGCATACCGCAGTTCCCTAATGTGAACGAATTTTTAGGCCAAAAATTGTATGTATTCTGAAAACTTCTTCGTTGTGTAATTTCATACCAAGTTCGACAATTCTCTCTTACAGTGTTTTCAAGCCCAGTGTTTATTGTTTAACATCCTCATATTATAACTGGATCTGCATGTTTCTATTACAGAAACGCGTGATTGGCGCTTGCAATTCAGTAACTCATCTAGATTCGTTTTTCAACACCCATAGTTGTCTGAAAATTAAAGATTTACCTGAAATACCAAGCAGTATCTTTAGATAAACTATCCGTTACTGTGTTTATATAGTCTGCATATTCCACTCCAAATTTTTTCAAAATCTGAAAATATGGTTCCCCTTTGCATGCAATCTGATTAAAAAGAGTGATAAAGTAATTAGTTCTCTGTGTTTTATTTAAACCCTACACCAAACAGTGTTTGAATTGCACTTAAATCTTGTTATGCATCACCTTAGTTGACTTGAAATACTTGGTAAAAATATATGTATTTATCGAAGATATATGTAAGTATTGGAGAGCATGGGTTTACTTCAACATCTCCGAGTGTCAGTAGAGATAAATAAAAGTTATCTTCTCGTTCGAACGTCATTGACAGGTATACGAATATTTTTCACATTTTAGGAAAACATGAAGAAAGTCAATTCATTTAATTGTTAATGTTTGAGATCAATTAAAATTTTACGGGAGTTACCTTTATTTGCCCCTGTGTATATTTTTTGTAAAGGCCATAGTAGAAATAAAAAGATGACTCAAATTGACGAATAGGATTCCGAATTATTGTGATGTACCTAAAACGAAAGTTATATTATTATAAAATAAGTTCAACGTATCCCACAGGAGCATCTACGTTCTTTGATCTTTGTCCACTGCATTTGGGTTATGGGGAAAAAACACACACGCGAGTAGCTTGGTGGTGACTCTTCATTCGTGTGAGTAAACAAGCAAATGGTAACAGGACAATGGCGGTGTTCCGCATTACTCATACTAACTTCCTCTATCATAGTCTAATTACCTGTCTAAATATTTTAATTAATATCTGACTCACTTAACATCTTTTCTCATTATTGAAAACAACTCGTCTTTATCAAAACGTAAATGTCCAATCAATAGTCTCATACGTGGGATACTTTGACTAGATCTTCCCGAATTATATTCCGCGAGTAACGGAGAACCAACCATGCTAGCAAATCGACTTCGGAAATGGCCAGGATATCCCCCATAGAACGGAATCGGTATTCCACCTACCTGGAAACAAATTAAGGCATTTTACACTTCACTTTATAATGATATTACTGTATGTTTGGAACAATGTATCAGGTAGGTAGAATATGAATACGACCTAGATGAGCAAGAAGGAAAAAATAGAACTTTGTGACGTCACAACACTTAAAACCATAAGATAGTGTGATTCCTTCCTACATATCACAGGCTAGCACAGTAAACTACCATATTTTTTCGTGTAACAAACCGTTTCAGAGCTGTTTCCAAGTTTACGATTTTGTATGTAATGCGTCAGTAATCTCTTCACGCTCGTGCCTCCTGTTTTGTGGGTTTTTAAAAACACAATTCCTTGTGCTGCCTCACATTCTGCAGTGTGGTTTTGTGAATATATTTGAACCGATGTTTCTTCATGCTGCAATAGTTACAAGAAAAACATCTAATAGTATTATAATACCAGGTGACAATGCTCAAATATATAGACATGAAGGCCAAACAGCAACAGTTCGAATCGCACATTATGAGATATATATATAGAACGACATATCAAAATTGTACAACTTTCACATGTCCAGTTTATAGAGGTTGTATTTGACACTGTTTGCGATGATGCGCCAAGATTTTAGATTCAAACCCTGTGCATATTATCTCATTCATGTAGCAACAAATTAGACAAGATATGCCAAACTCCCATGACCCCGTCATTTCAATAAAAATAATTAACGATAGACGCACTAATGCTTGTTTGTTACCCCAATAAGGTGTTGTTTCTCAACCCAAACTCTCAATGATAGCTATTGTAAGGGACATTATACCCAAAATAAATATATCTTCGAGCTGAAAACATGTTAATTTCTTATAATTAATGTTATTGACAAAAAAGCATTGAATTGAAAAATCTTCGAGTAATTTTTCGGTTACCGATTCGTTTAAGTCTTGCAACATCGTTGTATTTATATTACCATGGCTTCCTTTCAAACCAATCGAATGAAATTCGCAAACTATCGTGGTGAAACCTTGATGAGCCTCATTCCCTGATGTCCAAGTTCACGGAAAAAATCATTTCCTGTTTAGTAAATTCATTCAAACGTTTCGACAAAAAAATAAATTGATATAAATAGTACACCTGAGTAGTCGTAATTTAAACGTTTCGACAAAAAAAAATTAATACGAATAGCACACCTGAGTAGTCTTTATTGTTTCTATAGACTTAAATATGCTTTCCCGAATAGAAATAAAACTTAAAAAAATAATACCAGAGCAAATAACCACTAGAAAGATAACACTCTTTGACATAACGATTATCTAAATAACACACGTTTAACGACAAATTATCGAATTTGCCACATTAAAATATATTTAATAGGCCAAGTATTGAATTCGTCGTTACACCTTAATGTTGTTAACATGCCTGTATTTCCGGAGATCGAAACAAAATGGTCGATATAAATATATATTATTGGTATATTTTATATTCAAATATCAATTTATGGATCCTTAAATAAGTAATATAACTATCGAAAGTGATTGCTTGCAATTCTAAAATAATTCGTAATGTATATATATCGTAATTAATCAAAGCGTAGAAAATTTCCTTTAAATATTTTTTGATGAAAAAATATCACCTCCATCTAGTTCACATATCGTCACGCTAATAATCGAATTGCGTAAGTCATTTTTAGCAGTTTTGATAAAAACGTAAAAAAACTTCCTAATGATATTGTTATGCCATTGGGAGTCAATGATTTGCCATGGTTCACTTTTTTGATCGTAGCCGGATTTACGTTAATTTGTATGACGCAGTTAAGTGACGTCATAATGGCGCACTGTGACTTAGGCAGAAATGTGTCTATGACTTGGGGACATACGCAATTTTGCAACTTTACTATATGCACCAGTCCTGAAAACTAAACATTTCAAAAACGAATGTAATTTTCAGTATCTACAATGTCTAATCCCCAAAATTGCTAATCAGTTTCAATTACATTATTTTTTATGTTTAAAAATATATATTTCAATAAAATAACACGTTCTTCACACCCACCGAAATAAGACTAAGATTAAATATAAAGAATAAAGCAGCAATGCACCCAATATAAAAGCCAACCAAGGTGAATTGGACTCGGACAGTGAATATCAGAAGTGCACGCCTTCCTATACTGTAGTATAAATTCAAATTAATACGCGCTAAGCTAGAATCCGAGATGCAAAAACTCGAAAATACTTCGCCGCGGTTATTTTGCCTTTGTGACGTCACAATAGTCCTACGGTAACAAGGATAATTCATTATGACGAAACAATTGCACAAATGTGCATGTCGTACTAAATCTCCATTTTTATGGGTTTGGGAATTCTTAAAATAAAATCTGAGTTAACAGACAGGTGCGCAGCATTACATAAATATCTATTTTATAAAAAACTCAAAATCGCCAAAAATGACTTAAGCAATTCGGTTATTAGCGTGACGATATGTTTTGATAATTATAAGGTCGTATTAGTCAAAAAAATCTTCGGAACGAGAACTTGAGATTACGGTCATAAGGTAGTATGCCTTGAAACTGGGCTTTGCAGTTCTAATTATGTTGAAGGAGACATGTTTTTTCGAAGGCTGAAAGTTAGGCTTGAGTCTACCCAAATTATTATATCCTTGATTGCTGGCAGCAGTGAAATTTAAACCTGAGATTCCAACCTGCAACGCTTCCATTTCATCGTGATGATTGTTGTTATTGGACACGTCAGTGTACATAACGATCGTTTCAATATTATGTTGCTGTTCTAGTTTTTCTTCTCCTTCGTCATGATAAAATCGCTTTTCTCTTCGAATACTGGACCAATTGCTTTGAAGTTTTTAGTGGTTAAAGATTGAGCCAGAAGGCTATTACTTATATTTATTTCAAAAATTTCTGTAGACTTCAGGAGATTCTTTTTTATTTATGGAGATAAAAATAGCGACACCTTGTGACGTGTCCATATATTTGGAAATAGCTCTCTTGTTAAATATTGTTATGTTTTTAACTATTTTATATTTTCTAACTCAACCCTATTTCTCAACCTGTGGTACGCGTACCACTAGTACGCGTAGTACGGGAGCTTTTCAAGTGGTACGCGAGCAGATTTGAATTATTGCAACGATTAACTTTTCAGTTGGGTAACGCTTTATCTTCTCTACTGTATGTATTGGCTGAACAGCGTTTATGAATGTTTCCCCAGGCAGCAGTTTCCTTATTTATTTCCGTAAACATGCAATCAGCAATAAGTCAATAATGACGCAACACATAACAATTGCAATTTCTGCACCCAGCCGCTAAGACACTTCTGTCGCTCAAACGGATATTCAAGCATTGTTGCAAACATTGCCTCGTTTTTGTAGTTTTGTGTGATATTTGTCTGTTTTCAGTTGTGTTTCAAGAAAATAATTGTGAATTGATTAACATAACTGTTCAATGTCTTCCGCGGAGCTTTACTCTAGTTGCAGCAGCAATCAAAAATAAATCTCGCAAATGCTGCGATGGACAAGGCTAAACTTATACTATATCAGTACCTGCAAACGGCACATGGTTGATTAATTTAATCAAAAATGATGGTTTCAAACACGTAAACCGGTTTATATGCGCCAACACATAAAACACTCTCGAAATAAGCATAAATTTTGCAATAGTAAGGTATAGGAATAATTCTTTCGGGGTTAATGATCGGGGAAACATACATAGCCCTGGTGCGCTACCAGTCCTTGTCTTTAGAGATCGCCCTCGCCCGCCATTACTCACCTTAAATGAAGCGATGTAGGCATGTTTTTGTCCTTTTTGCGTGTTTACGTCACAAAGGATGTAGTGCCACATTATAAAATACTCCCATAGCACGTTTCTTGTGTCTTTTCCTCCCCACAAAAATGGGCTTTGTCGGTGGTACGCAGCCATAGTAAAAACCAGTAAAGTGGTACGCGGTCAGTAGAAGGTTGAAAACCACTGCTCTAGCTCAATGAACCTTTTCCTATAATCGTCTTGAAAAGTGTATACTGACTGCGAAATTTTAAATGTACGGCAGTTACGTTTTTCAACAAAATTTTGCAAATTCAAACATCGTAGAGAACTAAATCACATATATGATGCTTCTTTGAAGTTTGAAAAATATCAATTTAAAAATTTGACGCCGCCGATAATAGCGTTTATGTATCGATAGAGAAAATATTAATGCCTTGGATCATGATCGATCTAGTGACCTTTCACACTTTTTTTTTATTCGAAAAAATACTTGATGTCAGAATTTATCCAATTTGTAATAATGAACGCGCCTTCTCAACGTCTATTCGTCTAGGTCACGTGATGGCGCTTTTTTGCGTCGACGACGCTTTCAAATGGAGAATGACGCACGAACAAAATTAACAAAAGTCTTTAAGCGTTAACTACCAGTTTCGACTACCTATCAATCAGAGCTCAACCGAATAGGATTTTTCGTCATTATTATTATTCATACATTTATACTATTACTGTAAAATTTATTCATGTAAAAACCAATTAGAAATGATAAATTGAGAAATTATGTATTCTTACATTTTTAATTAAATACGAATTCCGCAATAGTAACAAATTCAAAAACAAAAAAACGAACGAAAATATAAATATTTGTCGCAATATTTGCCCTCGCACCACACCCCTTACTATATACATATATCTACAACAGCTATCAAAAAAAATCTTATATTTGACCAATAAGCAAACCAATTTGAATTATAATCGTGTACACTGCAGGAGTTTGGTTGTTATAATCTTGAAAATATTGACATCAGACTTGTGAATTGTATATCTCAAAATTGAGCGCCATTTTTTTATTTATTTCTATTTAATAAATTGCTATTCGCTTTGGAGTTCGAACATTTGCAATCCTCGTCAATTTTATTACAACTAGAGTTAAGTATCAGGATTCGATCCATCTATAGTATCCATTTAATAACTACATCACATGTGAGAAAAGTAATATGGCTGTGTAAATCCGATTCATATATCCACTTTGAAATTAGTATTGATTTTTACAAATAATCATTGATTAGGAGATTGACAGAGAGCATTCCTAACACAGCAGCACCAGGGTAGACATATACTACAATAATAGTGTCAATAATAACAAAGACATTTGTTAAATTTGCAAGGTTAGCTTTCATTTGGAGTAAAATCAAGTACACGGTTGAACAACTCCAAGAAAACTGATATCCCACGGTATCTACACCCCATACCTGGAGAATATATAATTATTTAAAAGACAGGAGGATAATCAAGTGAATTTGAGATCTAACTTTCTTGACTTTGCTAAAAATGTGGCCTATTAGTATCTTACCTATTGTTATATTATCTTGGTTTGACAATTATCTAACTTTGCTCGCCTATTACAACTCACTTTTGTCACAGCGAAGCATTCCCAATAAATCTTTTTCATATATTCTGTTTGTTGCTTCATGGAAAAATTTGATAAAATTTAAAAATAGAATTCTTCAAGGTGAAATTATCACAGATGAAATTTTGGGGGTGATTCACGAGAATCTCACCTAAAACTTCACACACATTTACTTTAACTTAAATTCTTTTATCTCCCACCCACCCCGTCTATCTGGAAAGAAGCGAACTAAATGCAAAACATATCAAATTCGAAAATTTCCCTGAAATCGGTTTGAATATAGGCCGAACAAATCATTTTCATTAATTTCAAATGGAAGTATAAGATTTTATATGTAAAAAATTATCGGTGCAAATAAGAACAACTAACACTTTTCAATCACGTTTGTGAAGTCAATTTCGCCATTTGCTTCAAGTAACTAAGAGTTAACAATACAATGGATATCGCGTTAAAGTATGTTCTTTGCTTAATTTCTGAAAATAATAGGAATGAGATATTCATTTTATTCTGAAAAATACCTTTTTTTAAATATTTATCAAGGGATAAAATATATAATCATATTCGAAGCAACAAGCAACATATTAGGTTCTTGAAAAGATTGTGTTTGAATGTTGACTTTTCAAATCAATTTTAAGCACTAACGAAACCAAATTTTTTTTTTTAAAGAAAATTTTGCAGTACCAAAGGATACTATTTTTAGTATGTAAAAGCATTTTTTATGAAACAAAGATGAAAATGAAATTTTTAGAAGCATTTATTAGAATATTGAAGTTTTATATTCTTTTATTCAGACATGTTCATTTTACCAAGCCATTTAACGCCGTTCTACTAAACTTAGAATTACGAAAAACGAAGAGTGGGTCCAATGGACTCTCTGGTATTGTTTTGTCCTCGAATGAAGTTCAAATATATTATACATTTCAAAAAATATTGGTATTTCTACAACCGACAAACACAAAATTATCACGAAAGAAATTCTCTCGCGCCAAATTCTCGCAATATTTACCGTTCCGTTGACGTCCGCGCACTCGATGTGACGTCATATATTATATAGAAAAGGTTGTCGCAAAGGCAATGCGCATTCGAGAGAGAATATTGTGCGATAAGTACGCGTTTGGTTGCTGAAAATTTAATTTTAAACTAAAAACTTGAAAATGTCGGCTCAAAAAACCAAGAAGACGAGCAAATCGCAGGATCACCCTACTTACCAGGTTATGGTAATCAAAGCTGTAAAACATGAAGGTTCTTCAAAAGGAGGGACTTCTCTCGCGAAATGTTGGAAATATGCTGCCGCAGAGTACAACCTTCCTAAGGACAAGAGAGTTATATTTCGTAAGAATGTAGCCCGTCTTATCAAAGCTGGATATCTGGCTAATACAAAAGGCAACGGTGCTGCTGGATCGTTCAAACTGAGTAACGCGCAAAAAGACAAGGATAAGCAACTGGAGAGAACTCAGAAAGAAAAACAAAAAGCGATTAAAGCTAAAGCCGCTTTAAAAACCAAGAAAACAACAACCACAAAAACAAAAGTGAAAAAACCTGCCGCCAAGAAAGCCGCAACACAGAAAAAAACTGCGAAAAAGACCACGAAAAAAACGCCAAAGAAAACGACAAAAAAGCCCGCAGCAAAGAAGGTCGCTAAAAAATCCACCAAGTCCCCACAAAAGAAAGCGAAAGCAAAGAAAGCTACTCCTAAAAAGACCGGACAGAAGAAATCCAAGAAATAAATCAATATACATAAAACTTGAACTTTACAATAGAGTTACATGCTTATACGAGTTAAAGCCAATGGAAAAGCGCCGGGCGTACTGCTTACTTTTGATATTGTAATCCTGTTTTGGGGGTTGAATATTCTGTCATGTTCATTTTGGAGCATGGTAAACAATCGATTTCCATGAGGATCAAAGTAAATTTTGACCTCATTGGGCTTTTTTTGTATAGTAGTTCCACAGAGTGTACTCCATATTCAGATTTTTTGACAGAACTCTATTTTTTCATCTTGACTCACCGTTTATAAAACAAAATAAACGCACTTTTAGTAAGGGCCTTTTTGTTTTCTCTTTGATCATGCTTGAAAATGTAGTTTTTTGTTATTATCGTCGTTACGTTTTCTTTTTAATGAAATAAATATTATCATTAGTATAAACCCATCTACTTGTTTGTTACCCTATTTAGTGTGAAGGCGCCAATTTTAACAATTTGTGGCGCGCGTTTTAAACGTATTCTTGTCGTCGTCACGTGCCGCTTATTTACAAAGCGTTGATGACGCCGTGAATAGAGCAGCGGCGGAAAATATCTTGAAGTACTGTAGTAACTAACAGCGATATGGGTTATCGCGGGTTCACAATCAAAGATTGACAAAATATTTCCATTTCAAATCGTGTTTGAAATTCAAATGATCTACTGTCGCCTGTCAGTTCGCCAGCTCTCGCGGTTGATGAAGATATGTGTAATAAAACTTTTCAGAGAGGTATTAGCGACACTTGTTACGAGCAAAGGTTAGATCAAATGTGCGGACACCGTATCGATACCGATGCAACATAATCAGATTAATAATGCACCTACATGGCAACACAGAATTCAAAATGTCATTTGAGTTTGCATTGTGAGGCAACAGAAATGAATAAGCTGGCACTGATTACAGTACATGTGGGTAGGCGGACAAATATGCGTTTACAACTGACAATATTTTTCGACACATCGTACTAAGCTTACAACGCGTTTGCTATGGTATCATTTGGCTGCCGCTTGTCCTGATTCAAATTCTGCTGGGATAATTAAATACCCGTTCGTGCAAGTGTACAGTCCAACATCCAGGTCATCAAACTATGAATATCAGGGGTCGGGAACCTTTGTGATCAAGTGAGCCATAAAAAGTACATATTTTCAATTACATTTCCGTGCGAGCAATAAAGCGTTTTCCATTTCACAATCATGTTTTATATTTTTACTTAAAAGTCAACACATACAATGTCTCATACTCATTATAATGTTACTTCTGATGCTGCATGTTGTCCCCGAGGGCCTTGAACGACTGCTCACGTGCAACACATGTTGAAATCGACGATACTCATCGCGGAGAAGTGCTAATTTTGAATGGTGCGCGGCCCGCGAAACGAGTTTCTATTTTAGTTTAATCTAGTACGTGCGATTAATTCCCAGATAGCACAACTACGTCGGAACAACCATGGCCGAACGTTGTTCGAACCACCGGCCCAATAATGGCGAACAACCATGTTCCAGCGAAGATTTGGCCGCTGGGCCAACGTCGGTCCTTTCGCTGTAATGCAACCGTGGCAAACGGTCGGGCCAACGTAGGCGATACGTCGTAACACAATCGTGAAATATGGCCGGTCCAATGTGGGCGATACGTTGTAACACAATCGTGACATATGGCCGGGCCTACGTAGGCGACACGTTGTAATACAATCGTGGCATATGGTCGGGCCAAGTTAGGCGATGTGTTGTACAGACAGGGTATGGATCTATGCTAATGCTACATAGAAATTTCCCACTAATCTAACATTATTTATATAATAAAAAACGAAAAATAACAAAATGTCTTTATTTTACAAATATGTATACATGTAATAAAATTAATCGGAGTTCGTTGCCAGATCATCCAGAGCTGAAAAATATAAAAATTCTGTGTTAAATTGCAGTATTAGCAAATTACAGCACCGGAGTTCAAAGCCTAGTCTGAATGACTGCATCCCAACAAATTTTCAGAGTAGGAATCTCAAGCCAAGTTTCTGCAGTCGCAAATGTGTGAGTGAAGCTTACATTGACAAGACAATAATAATTGAGAAATACAGAAATTCTTGATTCCGCAAGGGGGCATAGACAATGTTTTGAGGGGAATATTTGTTGGAGGGAATAATGATGATTTGAGATTTTATCTGACTAAAATGTCTTCAAATATTCCTTGTTGAAATTCATCTATCTTATTAGAAACATCATGCACCATGATTAGTCTATTTGTTTAATTGATTTACATTAAATTTAGTTATAACTTCATCATTTGCTGTTGTGCTAGGGGGGGGGGGGGGGGGTGATAATGTAAAAAGTACTGTGAGGGAGCGATGATACAAATAAGTTCGAAAACCACTGTTCGCCATTATGCACCAAACTCTGGCAACATTGGATAGGCAATTTGGCACTTGACTCTAACCATAATCAGCTTGGCGATATCTCCTTAATAAATATTTTTCTATACTGTTCACTTTTGTATACAAAATCTACATTCAATTTCTTTACTGTTCACAGTTGCTTACAAAATCATTATTCAATTTGACAATCATAATGATAAAAATGAATGGTGTGGCAAATGGCAAGTACATTTTGTTTACTATCCAACGTCGGGAATCTTAAATTACCATGCAATGCCTTTCGAGCGGTCGCCGCGTTTGCGCATTGGTTAAAATAGCCTATAATGACTTTTTCTTGTAGCGTAATATTCAATCCATATATGATAATGCAAATATGATAATCACAGCATTGAAGTTCCAGATTCACAGCGCGAGAATGTCGATTTATTTAAACTAACCTGATGAGGACGTGGGGGATGCTATCGCCGAAGGTATTTTATTGTCCGGATTCAATAATAAGGCGACAAAAAATGAAAATGATCATACTCGCCTAATAAGACGACCCCCCCAAAATCAGGCCAAAAATTTGGGTCTAGAAAAGCGACTTTTTCGCCGGAAAATACGGTATTAACCACATGATGTTGTACTAGGTAATTATTCAACCGATATATCTAGCTACTGTGCAATATTTTATGGCACAGATATGCAAGGAGCTACTATAAAACAAAAACACCTGTTTTGGGCATTGTCCGCATTGAAACATTGAGATGCTTGAAATGACACAGTGTATGATTGCGTGAAAGAGGGAATTGAAGCAGGTGAATTTTCCAGTCCATTGTCATAGGGCCTATTATAAAAATGGTTTATATCATTAAACTTACAATGGTAATATTGACACTTGACAGAATATCTAATCGGTAATAATTATTTAGAATAACCGGAAAAAAATGGATTTCACACAAAATATATCCAAATATTTGTAAAGGATGTGTCGTACAATACTTCATGCTTTTACAGTCGCTGGGCATTGCACAGTTGCATGCACATTTGGCAGTCATTGTACAGAGATGGGCTTCGCCCAGTCGCCCGAATCTTTTTTGCTAGCGGTCTACTTTCCAATTCACTTTAAAATATAATAACACTTAATCAATGTTGGTTGGGTAAGCTTACATAGCATATATACTGAAAATAAATCATATTAATATATACCCAATATAATTCTATTGAATTTTAAAACAAAATAGATATTATTCAGAAATCAGTAATTTATTTCTCAACAAAGCTGAAAATATGAACTAGAGCAGGGTTGGGCAAAGTTCTCGGACCGCGTGCAAAAATTTTGCGCACCTAGACTGGCGGGCCATGTCGCATCTCACATGTGTGGCGTAAAAAGTTATACCTTAGAAACAAAATTTTATTCAAAGTGTTACAAAAACAAAAAGGGAAAACAATAATCCTTGAGCTATTTTTTACCCAAAAACATCAAATTTTAGTTTCAGTTTGATTGTGGCAATTGTTAAAACATATTTTAGATTTCAGCCAATTGAGATCTGTATTTAGATTTGTTGAAATGCATCAGACAGAAGGTTCACAAATGTGCAACTATTCAGATTACTGGATCAAGTCCTCCAACGGGTTGGACCAATACCTGAATACCGGTACCGGTACCCGATAACGAATACTGGTAAATAAGAGATGGCAACCTCAGAAAGTTTAACAAAAAAATGCCAAAAGACCAAGTACGGTAACATACCTCATCTCGTTCTGTAGGTACCGGGTACCGGTACCTACGGAGTCCAGGGATAAATATGTAACTTTTACCGGTATCTACCATGGGTACCGTACGATACCGGTACTCGATAACGAATACTGGTAAATGAGAGATGGCAGCCTAAGAAAGTTTAACAAAAAAATGCCAAAAGACCAAGTACGGTACCGTACCTAATCTCGTTCTGTCGTTACCAGTACCTACGGTGTCCAGGGGTAAATATGTAACTTTTACCGGTATTGTACCGGTACCGTATCACCCTTATGAACTGTGATCTGACAACGCACTTACACGGTTACAACTATCTCTACTTTCGCCATTCTACTATGAAAGCATTAAGTTCAATTTCACTGTCCCATCCACGGCAAAACCTCGCAACAGGATATCGATTACGAGTACCGCCAAAATGAATGGCGACCTCATGTGCTATATTCGAATCGCGCGCCCATTTCTTCGCATAATGGCGTGTTTCGTTGAAGGCCAATCATGGCCTTACCATGGTAAATGGTTGTAAAATCGCGTACAACAGTTGCCGGCGGATTATAACGTTGGCCCAACGTAGTTGTGCTATCTGGGTTCCAATCACTTTACGTTGCAGAGCTCATACCTGAGCCTGTGCGAAGCGAACAGCGCATGTCATAAGATCAATTTCCAACATTTTCATGTCTATACTAGGAAGCCATGTTAAATAAAGGTGCGACCCGCGGTTTGAACCAGTTCTTTGTATCTGGCCCTTCTGTCTTAAAGGTTGCACACCCCTGCTTTAAATCTAATCATTACTCAAACGTATTGGCAAATGTTCTGTCAAATTTGGCTATAACTGTATAGTTTGAAATCTGGTAATAATAGCAAGCTTGTAATAGTAGTAACAATTTCCATAAAGTTAGTTATTGGATGCGAAGTGTCCATAGTGGTTTTTCTGCGAATCGTTATTTCTGTTAGAATTGTTATTGGGGTGATATTTTTGTTGCTGAAAAATCAATCGCTTTTTTGAAGATGGAAGGAGTCGCCCCAAAGCATGTGGACATTTCATTCAAAATTGGGTAGCATTTTTTATTCCGCCTTTGTTACGCATCTCATCATGTAATATAAATTAAAAGCACGCAGGTACATGGATATTCTGGTTCAGCTCAATCAACTTGTAAACTTGGTACTAATAAAGATTTTGACATGTTGCGTTTGTTTCTGGAACAAAAAATTCATAAACATGGGTTTTATTGACTGGTTCCATTTTAGGAGGTTAGTTTGGTTATATTTATTTCTAAAGATATAGCGTTACAAACAATGCTA